ATGATACAAAAAATAATAATAATAGCAACAATGAGAATCTACTGTATGCGGGGGGAAACTTTACTTGGTCATTTCTGTTGTGGTCTTTGGGGTTTCTCTCTTTTTAGTAAGAATGCCTTTCTGTTTCTCTTTCTCTCTCTCCTCTGTACGACATTCCTCTCTCTGTACCTTCTTTGGCACTAAAATCAAGTGGCAGAAGGCTATAGGGAGATTGGACAGTTACTGTATCTATATCTAGAAGGAACAAAACGATTACTTTTTGCTTGCTTGTATGTTCTGTGCCAGATGCCTGCCACTGATACAGCTGGAATTGCACATATTTTTTTGTGGAAGTAACTTTTTGTAACTACGGTGATAATCCTAAAAATGATGGGAAGCAGGGTAAAGCTGGATGAAACATGGTGGTGTCCCTATTGGTGAATGAGTCCGACAAATCAGTAACATCTCAAAGTCTTCCAGGGTTTGGGGTTTAAACAGAGACACCGGAGAGAAAGAGATGAATAGAAAGTTGGAAAAAGGAGAGAAACTCTTCATCCTTGTTTTCTTTGTTATAGACCATAATAATGGATAACCAGATGACTATAATAATAACTAATAATGATCACGACGATCTTGATAATGAGACAGATTCTCCACATTTGGTCTTATATTCTGTTCCGTATGTTCGTTTTATTTTGAGCTCAGCTTATCATTTTTCCAACCCTGAGGTGGAGCTCTAACCCACAGATTGCATTGTGGGAGAATGAGTATGCAGGAGGCCAAACATGAGTCAGAGATTTCCCAAAAAAAGCAGCCAATAAATCTGCCTTTCTTCTAGACATTGGGTGAATTTGATTGAAATTTGACTGATCAGAAGCGGTTCTCCACAGGTTTCTTCGTTGAAATGGAAGAGTCTATTCTCCTGCAGACGCTAAAACAGAGTTCCACCACCACTTGTGACCTTCCAGTGGCGCTGTATGACAAAAGAGTGCGCCCTCTAGTTTTTGTACCTCTCCCTTTACTCCACTTCTAATTCAGAGTTGTTACACGTTACCAGTGCACCAAGAATACAAGTTTAGCTCATTCTCTCACTTGTAGACCACCTCGTCTGTGTTCACCACGTGTAAATACAGGCGACAGTCACACAGTTCACACGGGTTGGAGAAAAGATGCGTGGGCCTTTGTCGTGGTCCTGGAAAACCATGTTCCATGTTCTGTGTGTATCACTCGTATATATCTTTCATTTCTTTCTGCGTGTTTTCTCTGTGTGCCTCAAACTAACACTTGTCACTAACGCACACCACTGTCAGCCCCAACATTAGTGTGATTATGTTATTTATTTATTTGACCTGCGTTTTTAACCTGGAGGCCTATCACATGTTGACCAGAGAATGCACCGAAAAAATTGAAAAGAAAAAAAACTGCCTATTAGTGTCTTTCCAACCTCAGTGGAATGTCACAGACAAGTATTTTTTCACATCACTACACTTAAAATCAGAAAGCACACTAGGTATGTAGCTCCTGGTTGTGGTGTGTGCGTTTGTATGTGTAGGTGGGTATTTGCGTGTGTGTGTACATGGATGAGTGTGTTTAGGATAAATTTTTAGCGATTTTGTTTTGTTCGTGCTTGCTTTGCTTTTTATTCTTTGTCTCCAGAAAATCATTTTTAAATCTTAAAATATTTTGGTCAGATCATTGTAAACAATCTTCAACTATGTGTGCGCCTGTGTGTGTGTGTGTGTGTGTGTGTGTGTGATATCAGTAACCCCCTGAATGAAACATTCAAAGCCCCAAACATTCACCATCCATCTTTGTGTCTATGCTGCAGTGAAATCCACTAACACGCTGATTAACCACACAAAGTCTTCAAAAAGCAATGTAAAGCCGCTACTGAGAAAAAAAAAGTTTTTTTAAGTACAAAAGATTAAAAAAAAAGGAAAAAATATCTAGTTCCAGAAATGCATGTGCTATGTGCATGCCACACCGTGGGTTAACAGTCATCTTCAGGACATAAAAGAAAAAGCAGATTAATGAATTCAGAGGAATAAAAAAAAAGATATATAAATAGATAGATGTTTTTAAAAAGCAACGTTTCCTTTTTTCCTTCTATTTTTGAGAACAAAAAAGGTTAAAAATTTCCAAAAAAAAAACGTCTAAAGAATAAAAACACAAAAGAGACTTCGGTGAGAGTTGGTCTCGTTTGTTTTCTTCTGTTACATGGGGTTGAGGCACAACACAACCATGTTCAGGACACCACAAAAAAGAACTGTTTTTAATGAAAAAAAAAAGATATATACAAAGAAAAGAAAGTACAGTTCAGAAGACGGTGTATTCTCCCTTCTACTTTTTGTGGGGGTCAGGGGGTGCAGGAGCTAGCCAAATCTGATGATGTACTCATTATGACTGGCTGTGGAACCTTTTGATCTCTCACTCACTCCCTCTTTTTCTCTCTCTCTCTCTCTCTAACTCTGTCTCTCTCACACTCTTTATCTGTCGCACTCTCAACCTGTCTCACCGCTATTTCTACCAGTGCATTTTGTAATTCCAAACAGAACTCTTCCTAAAGAATAAAATCCAGAGAGAATGCACACCGCTTTGCCTCATTTCTTGTCCACGTTATTGTCTTATTTACCTGTTGAGTATGTGTGTCGTAGTGTATGTGTGGCTCATATTTTGGCTCCAAGGGGCCCTGTGGAGTTCTCCTTCTGTAAAGTTCTGTTTACATTCAGCGCAATGTGTGAATCCTTGAGTCCTAAGAAACGTGTTGAATTAATTTCCTTCCTCGTGAAACATTCGCAAAGCCAATTTAAAAAAAACATTTTGAAACGTGCATTGTTTCCACACACGTTTACTAGCATGCGTTCTTCTCGGCCTTTGCTGGCACTTTGCTGCGTTTCATGATGAATAAGCGCCACTTGACGATCAGTGGAATAGTGCGGAAGCATTGGCAGCAATGTGCATCACTCAAGACCAACCACATGAGGGCCCACTCAAAAAAAAAACCTGCTCCATTGCACTGCTGTAGTTCAGAAACTTTATAAAGCTGTATTGAATAGTTTTTTTGGCCACTGTGGGACAGTTGTAAACACAACATTGACATAGCATCACCTTCTAAAGTTGTTGTGGTGCACGTGTTAACAGTTGATTGTGCATCCAGTAGACACAGAGTAGCTTTATCATTCACCTGGAATCATGTTTCTGTCCACCTGGCAAATGTAAATCCAATATTCACTCTCTTTTAGCCGCCTGCTGTGGCTGCAAACAGTGTCGATGAGAGCGGTGACACTGAACTGAACGGTGCATCCGAGGGCTGTAAAACCAAAACAATGAGCTGTAAGATGCTAAAACCTGCTGTAGACCTGAGAGGAACTGCAGAGTCTGGTGATAATTCTCTGTGAGTTGTGCGACACCGTGTATTTCATCCATTGATAGTATAAAAATATGCATCAGTGAAGCTTTAAAGGTCCAGTGTGTAGGGTTTAGTGGCATCTAGCAGTGGAGGTACATATTGCAACTAACTAACGCTGCTTGTGCATTCTGGGCTACTGTAGAACCATGGCACTTCAACTGTATCCGTAGATAAACCTCATCCTGAGATAACGAAAACAAGATTCCTATATTAGGTAATTATACACTAATGAAAACATACCTCTGAATATTATGTTGATTTAGGAGGAACCAATAGATCCTCCTAAATGAACCTTTAAGTTCCCTCAAGGGCTGATGAGGGAACAGGGATCTAAACTGCACTTACTGAATCCAGCTCATATCCATTACAATGTGTGTTTGCTCTGTTTCTGTCATGCCTAAACCCTAGCAGGTTTGAAAAACACCAAATATCCATTTGAAAAGGAGACCCATCTAATGCTTAGTCATGCAGAGAACATGGATGTGTCAGCATATTCATTCACAATGAGTACGTGGGGGTGAGAGAGACCAAAGGGGGAAGAGAGCAAAGAAAGAGTCGCACAGGAGAAGGAGAACAAGTGTGTGTGTGTGTGTGTGTTTGTATAATGTGTATGACGGGTGTATTTTCACAGGCATGTCCAGACGGTTCCGGCCACCCCTCCCAGCCCCCGTGTACACAGACAGGGTGCTCTGGTTTCAGCCGGAAGAATAAGCAGCACAGTTGGGGCCTCACAGGGGCTCACACAGGCACTTCCCCCCACATTCCTTCTTCTGTGCTTTCCTGGGTTAACCCCCCCCCCAGACACTGGTGAATCCCTGCCGCTCCAAACATTGCATTCCTAAACTTACAGCCTACTTCAGTATTAAAGTACATAAACTCTGTTGTAGTTTATGAAATATAGACATTTGAAAACTTTATTACTAATCAATTAATGTGAACGCTGTGAGGTTTTTTTTTTTGGGGGGGACCTCTTGTGTTACAGGTGCAGAATGACTGTGCCACTTAAAATGACACTCTGTTGTTTAAGATTCAACTTTACTCCAATTAAAATGAGCAATACAGTCCTCTTTAAACCCCATAACACCCTTATCTACCACACTCAGTGTGTTGTAAAGGAATGATGATTACCGACACTTAAAAATTTTAACCTAACCTTTTGCACCCTGATTGCTGGACCCAAATGACCAATGTCACTACAGTATTCAGGCCACAGTAAAACACTTATTGAGGAGCCAGTGTGGACCCTTTATTGTTCTCCGTGTATGGTCGGTCTATGGCTTTACGGCCTCCCCCCCCCACACACTCTTTGGACCATGGTCTCCTGAATTGTCCCCGCTTTTGTCCTGCAAATAAGTGTGTGTGTGTGTGTGGGGGTGTGAAATTGTGGGGGAAGGAAGCCAACTCCTTCACACACAACCAGCTTCCTGTCACACTCAAAACACCCACATACCACGTTCATACTTAATTTTCTCGCCCAAATCCCACACAAAAATATCAGCCGTATGTATACACACACACACACACACACACACACATTTCACTATACATGTAGCACTTAATGCTATCTCTCGTGTATATTTAGTTCCTGTTATAAACAACACATCACTCCAAATTAAGTACAAAAAATGTTTAATAAATACTGAGGTAGTTGTAGACATTGGATCTTTTACATTTCAACATATTTGCACACTCATCAGTCAGGACTGTGGTCCCCCATAAGTCTCAACACAGTCAGAACATATGTTATATTTGCTGAGCAGATCCTGCTCCCTGAACAGACACACTTGTGTAAATGTTGAACCAGTTCATGTAGTTCCGCTTTTTGGCCGGCGTCAGTCCCCGTAGAGGTCTCAGGCCCCAACAACTAAGCCAAAATTCACCCGCCGGGCTGTGTCTTTCTGTGGGTCCTGTAACACGCACAGGCTTGTTCAGAGTCATACGTGGGGACTCGAACTATCCCCGGGCCTTCGTCCCAAACGGCCCTCCCCCCCATGGGACAAACGAGGCCCACTTGTGTGGCGCGTTCAGGCTCCCAGGCCGTGTCGAAAAAAGTTTATAGCCTATAATCTGCACCGGCTTTCAACACGCTGCAATGGCCCTCTGTAGAGGCATGGGGGGTGGGGGTGCTCCCAGTTCACTGCTACAGTTCACATAGTCCAGCAGAACCGAGTTCACTATGAGCAGAGGGGGGCAGTTCCCCTGCTCAAGTCTGGCTTTCTTGCAGGGGAGAAAGTCTGGCTCGACGGCCGCTTTGCCCCGTCTCTTCCTCGAGTGTTGCGCCGGCCCGCTCGGACACATATTCTCCTTGTTGTCGAGCTCTGTGGGGGGACCCCCGACCTCCTCTCGGGGTAAAGTCCGAGGCTGTCCGGTGGTCGGCGAAGCGAGACCCAGGAGCTCCACATGAGGCTCTGCGTTAACTTCCGCCGCGGTGTGTTGTTGTCGTTCACATTCCGGTGCGATACTTTCCGTCGTCGCCTGGGCCTCATGGTACATGTCCCGGGCGGATTTCATCACCAGAGTCAAAAGGAGGCTCCGGTGGAGACGGAGACCCCCTCGCTGGGTGCGGGAGCTGTACAGTTTCCCCAAAGCCACGACCATGATCCTCTTGGCCTCAGCGCTGACCTCCATGTCACTACTTGTTTTTCTGAAAACGAGTCCAAGACAAACAAACCGCCAGAGGTTAAGGTGTGTGGATTCAGTCTCTCCCCTCTGACTTCCCACAGACACACTACGGGACGGCTCGGCTGCAGGACAACTACTTATCACCTCGTTGACGTCACTCACTCAGCGTCATACGACAGAGCCCCGCCCACCGGCCTCACACTAACAGCCCTGCAGCAACTGGTTCACAGACTGTGGTTATTTTAATTTACCTGTGTGTGTGTGTGTGCGCGCGCGTGCGTGTGTGTGTGTCTCTATCAAGATGTGACTGTTCGAAAAAAAATCACATGACCCCCCAAGCGCATTTCTGGTGACGTAACCATCTATAAATAAACAAAAACAAGTCATTTTAACACTTTGACTGGAAACCGGGGGGAACATTGAATAATAAACCTGTATTGAATCAGTCTTTTTACACTGCAGAACACATGGATGAATAGAAGCTGATTAGTATCTAATATCTATATATTAGTATCTAATATCTATATATTTGTATCTAATAAGTATCTAATATCTTGAGATACAGCTGCTGGATGGAGACTTATAAAATGCCACCGTGGACACTCTCTTAAACACATTATTACATTTTTTGAGAATAACCATGTATTATGGAAATGTGTTATTTATCTATTTATTTATTTTGTTAGAATTTATCAGCTAATTCCCTTTAGAAATAATTTCAACCTGCCTGTTGGACTAAATTATATCGTTTTTAGTTTTTAGATTTTTTTTACTACACATGTTACACAAACAGGTTGCCACAGGCAGGAAGATTTGGACTTTGGACTTTGGACTTTGTAGTCCCCCCCCCTCCCACCTTACAGTGTGTTTCCAAAGCTAGGCCATACATGCACGTGTCTTTGCATTGCATAGAGGCTACAGAGCCAATCGATCCCGACTCTGGTTTCGGTGGCCGCTGTGTCTGGCTGTTGGTTTAATAGCCAGAGCTAAATGAGGCATCACAGTGGAAGTAAAACTATCAATAGGTGCAGCTTATTAGGGGAGCCGTTTTGCATTGTGCCATCCAGCCTGTCTAAATGACATTACATCACCGTTCAAAAATCCTACATTTCTCTGAGTCCAGGCGGCTGTGTGCACTTTCACATTCACTGAATCAGCCCTGTCACATGCAGGTCATCTGTTTCGCTGATGTGCAAAGAAAGCTTGATGTGTTATTAGATTATTATTATTACTATCAAACACTGAACTTCATTTAAACAGCACTGAACTCTCTCTGCTCACTATGACTAGGTAAGTAACGTATATCAGACAAGATAAGCACCTGACTTCCAGTAAAACAGGACAGGAAATCTAAATGTTTAAAGACAATGTTTCAGAATGGTTAACCATTAATAATTTGAGCAGAATGAATATGTTTGATAAGAAAATGTCTAATCTGTGAAAGATATTTCTGTCTATATTTAGACTTTCTCACACCAGGGATGAATTCCATTCCAATGCTTATCTGGAACAGCCAAGAAAGCTTTTAACAGTGTCTGAGCTCCAATCTCACCCATCCCCCCTCCCCCCTCCCCCCAGTGTGTTGCTTCCTTCTAAAAAAGAAAAGAGAGAGAGAGAGAGGGGGGGTGGGTGGAGGTTAACAGACAGATGCCCATATTAAGCACATCCGGCTCCTGTGGCACATGCAGAGGAAAACCCATGACGCGAGCGGGAGCCCTTGTTTCCTGAGGCCATTTAAAGTAACAGCAGAGAGGATTGCGTCAGGGCGTGCTACTTCCCTCAGACCATATTTGGGCAATGGAATCGATTCCAGGATGCATCGTAATAAGAAACGGAATGGTAGTTTTTACGCTGGATGTATTGATTTTCCATCAATATGACAACATATAACGGTGGATTTTACTCCGGAGGATCAGTTTGAAAGTGTGTTTGGCTTTTAACTGTCAGAGAGAGAGACATAAAGAGAGAGAGAGGGGGGGAGGCTCTTCCTGCTGTCCCAAACTTCCAAAGGAATTTGAGGTATGCAGGTGAGTGTTTATGGTCTGGATGTAAAAAAAATCAGTAGGCGCCATGTGGAAGGAAGACGGGGGTGGGGGATAAATGAAATTCCTCTGCTGACAATGACAAATCATTTATAACCACTAATCATATTATTTCTTTTAGTTGCCTCTCTGTAAGATACAATCGGTTACAAGTAGTGACTAATAGCATCCCAGAGGGCAAAACTCTTCCTCCTTACCTCCCACAGATGTTTGAAATTCCGCACAGCTCATGGTTAAGGTTCAAATCATCCACAGAAACTTATTTTTGGTTCACTTTTTCGAGTGCTGCGGCAATATTTCAGTCCAGTAATAGATTGAAGAGTGCCCTGTTGTGGTCACATGGTGGAACTGCAGCCCCGGACTCAGCCAGGAGCACTATAACGCTCCTCTCTCTCTCTCTCTCTCTCTCTCTCTCTCTCTCTCTCTCTCTCTCTCTCCCATTACCCCTCTCTACAGCTTCTGGCTGACATCAGTTAATCTTTTTATTAGTCCAATTGGGGAACCCACCCAAATTCTTTCAAAAATAAAATTCCCCAGATGGCTTTGACACCCCCCCCTCAAAGCAAAAACGTTCACCTTTGATGCTCAGAATTGCTGAGATGCCGTAGCTCCACATCTGGAGAGTTACATAACCACTGTAGTGAAAGTAAAGAAGTTGTGACTTAAACACATTGATTTATGTTTTTTTTTTCCCCCACTAGAGAGCAGCAAAACATCACAACAAGCAGACTGATACTAACATAACCACTTATTGAGTCATATTTAACTTGGAGTCACTGACAAATACTTTGGCTCTGTCCACCAGAACTGAGAAAAATATTTGGTTCTTTAACCCTTAGAATGTTTCACAGATTTTTTTCCAGCAGCTATTTTTTAATTTGTCTGCTATAAACTGTACATCGGGTACAGTTTTTGTTTGACTGTATAGCTCCCTGATGCTGCAGGGTAACTGGAAACAGCCTGGACTCAACCATCAATTATATTGTGTAAAACAGTAAAAACTTAAAGAGTCTAAAAAGCTCCTCAGAGGAAAATTGTGGCTTGTTTGGAGAAATTCACAGCTGGGCTGCACTGCCTTGAGTGAAATGGATCAATGCTGTTTTAATGTTTCTCCCTCAGTAGGGATCATAAGCATCGCCATAATAAGTTGGATCTCTTGAGCTGGAAAATCTAAAAGCTGTTTTGTGCAGTCTTCCAGCATTCAGTTGTCCTGTGAGCCTTTCAACACTGGGTGGTGCACTAACAAAGGCAAATTAAAAAGATGACTCTGCTCTGGGCTAGGCAGCTCCTGGTGTTTGCATTTGAGACAATGTGAAGGTTTAGGGAGGTCATACAGGCTCCACATTCAAAAGATTACATTGCATCATCCCAAATGTGTTGATCTATTTACATTTACATCAGAAATAATGTGCTCACATGTACTGAATTTTAAAGACATCTCCAAGGTGATGTGTTTTTTCAGCATAACCATCATAAAATGGACCGAGCCTGTTCCTGATTTAAGTCATAACAGCATAAAATTGAAGTGGTGCCATAGTTACTGATAAAACTTCATTTTTGTTTAATACAATACCCCATTATTTCACTTTGAGAAAAAGGTAACATCACAGTTTTAGATACATGATATAGATGTGTATTTTTGGAGCCAACATAACAATCTTTATATAAAGTTGAGCTGTTATTTTGTCACTAGTGTTTGAGGAGAAACATGAGACATGCCCAGTGAAAACTGATGATGCAGCTTAAGTGCTGTATATCAAGTACGAAAGCAAAACTGTAGGCAAATGAAGGCAAAGCCAACAGTCTGGGACGATCTGTTCGCAAAGCATGAAAGAAACTGGTCATACGTGGCAGCCTCCAGGTGTGAGTACTCATGTGTGCGTGAACTTTGCATTGATATTTTAATTTGTTCCTTTTTTGTTTAAGTAAAAGAGGGAATGCTTTATCTTTCTTAATCAGATCTTGCTTATCCTGTTAATCAGTTAAAAAACCACAAGGATATATATTTTTTTATACATGTATTTTATTCCAGTGAGTTATGGCAACTGATCGTGTCAGTTCACATCTCAGCTGAATGTTCGAGGTCTGAATAAAAACACCCAGTAAAAAAGGAGCCGGAGAAAAATTGTTACAAATCTTTTTATTAAGATATTCATTATTTAATCCATTTTTGACATTTTCTCTATGATTTGTATTTATTTATTTTACAGTCGTTAATGTGCAATTACCTTTGATAATGTTGGGTCACAGTTACAGGGCTTTCACAAAGTTATTGGCACTTGGAACACAGAAAGAATAGGATGAGCAGTACAGGATGTCCACTGGTGCTACAGGGTTACAGAGGGTAAGGAGCAGGGGCAAAGACATGGGCAGACCAATTACTGCACAGGTTGTGAAGAAGCGCTGTTTCTGGGTAAATATATACCTCATGCTGCGAGTGCACAACAAACAATCTGACCTCTATGTGTGCGTCTATATATAATATACAGTATTTATCTATACATGTGTATAATCATATTTATATATGTACTGTTTAGTGACAAAAAGGTTCCCCATGCCGTGCCGCACCTCATCCATTCAAGTGTGTAGGTCTACACATGTTGTGAAGTGTAAATACATACATTGAAAGGTACAGAAATTACAATTTGCTTAGAATGTACTGAAAAGGAAAAAAAAAAAGGATGAAAGCTCGCTATTCTCAAAACGCATACAAAGTAAAACTCACGCACCCACTGCACAGATGCAAGTAGGTTGTGAATGAGGGACTTTTTGAACATGTACTAGAGTCGGCCCTGAAAGCTGACCATAGGTAAAAACCCCTGACATGTACTGTAACCACAGTTATTTCTACATCACTTGTTCGACTGATCACAACACAGGCCCTAAACCAGTGTTTCTATGCCGGGCTCATGAGACGCAACAGCAGGATATTCGGACCGTGGACATGGTCTCGATGTGGGCTGAGCTGCTGTGTTGTGAAAGCAGACTAACATGCCTTCCTCAGAATCAAAAGCTGATTCACTGGTGATATTTCAGTTCCAGTAAGTGACTCAGAATGGAGTACAAGTCCTTCGGTTTGCGTAACATGGTTATTGTAAGAAACTCATTTAAGCCCTTGTTTTTTTCCCTCACTTTTAAAGGTTCCTCATTCTTCTGTCTTTTTTTGTTTTCTATGGGAGACTCGCTGTTTTTTTTAAGAGTGCCAATGGTAATTATACCCAGGTTTTATTAATACCTGAGTGAAGGACACAATCAATAACAATCCAGTAATAATGGAACTAAATTCAGACATTGGAACAGTAATTTGGCTATTGTCATGTCTGGCTTTCTTTAGGCAGGAGCATTGACAGATTTAGTAGACATTATGCTAAATGAGATCTTAAAAAAGCTAGATTTTTTTCCAGAATTCAATTCCATTACTAGATTGAATGTCCCAAAACTCCCTATATTAAATGCAGAGGTCCTATTGATTGGACTTGGAACACATTCCTCTTGGTCCTTTAACTCTGCACAGTTTCCTAGGAATCTGCTATTATAGTGGATTTATTTTGAAAACCTTGAGTGTATGTATATCAAATCTAAAATAACAGGTTTCCCGCGTAACATAATGTGATCAACTCTTTAAGGGATTATGGTAACTTAAATACACCTGCAATAATCAATAAATAGGGGAAACATGAGGATGTAATTTGAGCTTCGTTGAACCTGTGTAAACTTGACTTGGTTAAAAGCCACTAAGAAAATTAAACATACGTGTTACAATTCAAATCAAACTAGCTAAAACCACTGCTTTGCCTCTCTCTGAAACACATGAATAAACTTGTAGAAGTGAAACATGACACCAGCTGCATGAAGGACAGGAAGCACAACAGTCTTCAAAGATACTGGAGAGGTAAGTGGGGGAGGGGTGCTCATGTAGCACCTACAGTCAAATGCAAAGTTTACTGAGGTTTTGTTGTCATTACCCATAACAGAATACTTACAAGGTACTGCTTTTTGTTCTCTCCATGCACACTCAGGTCAAAATAATTAAATAAACTCTTTCTTATAGTTTTAAATCAATCATGAAAATAGGTTGAGCTATATCTATCATGCCTCTAGTGATTCTTTCAATAAGATTGACTCAACTGCCTTGAGTAAGAAGCATTAACTCTTTTCCCGTTTTTTACGCTGTACCTGTCTTCAGAAAAAAAAAGAAAAAAAGAACCTTCTTAGAAATGCCTCTCCAGAAGGAGAAAGTCATCAGTTGTCTGTGAGAGCATTTCAGGTTAACAACACATTCCTATGTTACACCCAGACCACCTGAAGCAGGAAAAATGAATCCCCTGTACTGACCTGTAATCTGCAGGTCAACGTGCATTTAAAAGTCTTGTAGCAAACACAAACTTTAACATAAAAAAAGGTCAATTGTTGACATTTCATAATCAGATGCATCCAGCAACAGAAAGGAAGAACACTTGGGATTTAACTCAAATTAACAGTCTTCTCGATTATTTACAGTAGGAGTTTGTGCCACTTCTAAACAAGAAACACAGGCAGACATGAAAAAAAAAAAAAATTTCCACCTACAGGGGTTCAGTTGCTACACAACATTTCTCAAAAAAAAAAAAAAAAAAAGGTGCATGAACCACTGGTTCTTCTCATTAAGGTGCAGAATCCTCCACTCTACCTCTCATGGAAGGTGCAAAATTAAAGAGGTGGTGCATTCGATACATGAATAAACTACATACCATAAGACACAGCCACACCATACAGACTCTCTTCTTTACCAAAGAACTGCTTCACACACACGGATAGTACCATAAAAACTATTTTTGCTATTGCCTCCTCATGATGTCACTGTACCCATCAGGCTTCTGCTTATTGGTTGCAATTAAAAAGGCACGTTCCAATAGTCTATGTAATTATTTCCTATGACTTTTGCATTTGCACAAACATGTCAGCAGTTTTTTTTTTCAGTAGAAGGAAGAAAGTAGCTGAGTTGTCACATCAATATAACCCTAATGTTTCTACAAGTCATCTTCAAAATTGTGGGCCAATGTTTTATCGAAGGAGGCAAACGCTGCAGGTTCACAACCTAACAAGAAATGGTTATCGTAGACAACAGTCAAGCCAGCTGAATCAGTCTTATTCCTTTTAAGCTCGTGAACAGAAGATGAAATGCTTCAAATTTAGCAGTTCAACTGCTCATTCCATCACTCTGCACTGTCAAATAAAGATAAAAATAAATGACTACGGGTCCTATGATATGACTGATTTATTATACTCCTCTTTTTCTGCAAAAATAGCACTTTTCCTTATTTGACAAGACCTCTTTCAATAAAACATGAAGATCGAGATTTTAAAACAATCCCTTTTTCTCTCTTTGCTCATACCGTTCTAGGCATGGGCACTTGTATAAATATAGTTTATCCTCTAAAAATAAGACCATCTTTGATTACCTGTTGCCATTACATTTTCTTTACAATCTTTTCAGTAAAAAAAACCTTCCCCCTTCTCTCTGGATCACTTTTCAGCTTGTAGACGGAGAAGCGTGCTAAAAGTTTAGAAACAGATGAGATGAGATAGATCTCTATAAGACACTGCACAGTGAAACACTCGGGTGAGATTCTCTGTTTTAAAAAAAAAGGTGGTGAGGGGTGACGAATACTTGCAGGGTGATGAGTGGAAGGTGCAAGGGGGAGGAAGAACAGGTAGTGTTAACTCATTTTATTATCGGCTCTATTTTAAATTCCTTTTCCAGGGCTGGAATACAAGTTGTCAGGCTTGCATAGACAAAAATGCCACTGACACTTACATTCAATATACTCAACCTACTCCTAGCCTGTCCATCCAGCACATCCCTTCCTCCTCAGGAGTCCCCCCCACCACCTGCATTTCAGGGAATGTATTTAATATGCAACAGTGGACGCGCTTACACACCTTAAAAAGACAAGGGGAGGCAGAGGGCAGTTAGGAAAAAACATCCTCTTACTCTCTCCCTTTTCCTCAACTAACTCCATTGTACAGTCATAAAGCAGAAATTTAAGTTTTCATGTCCTGGTTACATCAGGGTAACAACAGCTGTTGACCCTAGCGGTGTAGTATAGACAGTCAGAAGTGAGAGATCAGCGTGGGCCAAAGAGTGAGGAGGCAAGCAGAACTGGGGAATACTGGTATGCGTGTCACCAAATTTCAACCTTCCCCCCCTGACACAATGTTCAAAATAATGGTCCTCCATCCCCGCCCACGCCCGTTAGCGATTCACCTGATGAACCGCCCGACTCAATGCCAGCGGCGCCGGCGGCCTCCAGAGAGGCGGGGTCGAAGGCAGGATCTGCCCCTAGGGTGTCGTCCTCCATCTTCACGCCGTCGGGGAGGAAGGCGGTGTAGGCGTCGCTCTCAGCCATCAGTAACTTCAGCTTGGGGATCCAGCTCTTGCGGACCACGCGTCGGGCGTTGGTGCACATGTCGGCCGCGATGGCGTTCATCTCGCTCTCTTTGAAGCTGGTGGCAAAGTTCTGGCAATAAACTGGCGTGGAAAAGGGGAGACAACACAGGATGAATACATGTTACATACTGTGGACTAAAAGTAAGACAAAATCTAGTGTTATGAAGCAGACAGGAACCTTAACAACAAACAACAACAACAGTGGTCAGGGGAAATATATTTTTTGTTGTTCACAAGTGGAATACACATTACATGATGAGTAATGTGTGCTATGGTGCTCGTTCATTCTGCACTTTATTAAAAGTCGCACTGGGGTTCTGGCACAACTTCATGCATGGAGAATTTAAGCAGTCTGAAGTGACAAAGCTCCTCCTCCTCCTCACACTGCAGTATTAATACATTTGGATTTTACTGTACATGTAAAACCTGAACCATCTGGACGACATGAAACAAATCCTCAACTCTACCTCCTCCTATCCTACATTCTTCAGTTGATGTTGGCAACTGCTGTATAACAGTCCCCCTATATTGAGATTAGGAGGACAAATGTAAAAGAATATAGATAATATTTGCAGATCATACACCCTAAAACTGAATTGTAAATGGAGCTGCTCAGAGACTGATCTCTTAAAACATGCCCTGCTGCCTTATCCATTTTACTAATGAGATGTAGGGGATTGCTCTCATCCTCAAAAAGCAAGCCCAAACTTCACTGAGCTTTCAAAAGGAGTTACACATTCAACCTTCAATTAAATCCTGAGGAATCATCGAGGGCATGCCCTTATTTTAAATCATGTCGAAAGTACAATAATTAAAACAGAATAAATACACAAGAAAAGTGAAGTCAAATAACGACTAAAGGAACAATTTAATAAGTTAATGATATACGATGGCTTTAAGGGCTTTATAAATAAATAGAAACCAGTGTCTGCCACATGATATCTGTTTAAAGCTTTCTCTTTTTTTATGAACGTCTGAACACATTATCACCTGGTTATATACACACACTACATCAATTTCATTTAGGGCTTGGAGTTCACTTTCACAGTGAATATTGCTATCTAGTGGTCAGTGTGAGTTATTACCTAATGCTAATCATAATGGTGCTGAAGGCAGCAAATAATCGTTTAAAAGCATTTGCACTCTCATCCAAAAGTAGACTTAAAACTGACCGATTGAACTGAGACATTTAACAGCCAGTCATTAAATTCAGCACCAACAATGCAACGGTGTGCTTTACAATATGTCTATGTACAAAGTGAATGCGTGTACATTCCCCTCGATCTGTACTCGACATCACAAGCAGAATTGTTTGCATGCTTGTGGGAAAACACCCACAGACAGAAAAACATGTACGCTCACATTTGACCGCATGCAGGACTCTGTTGTCCAGGGGCTTGCGGCTGGGGTCATTGGTGGACGAGCGGATGCCTGTTCCACAGCTGTTGGCCAGAGTATTCCTGAAACATTAAAATAAGAAGTGAGTTGCACAGAACACAGAACAGAGGAAAACAAAAATAGTTGTTATAACGCTTTAATGCCAGCAGATAAAAAAAAATAAAAAATACATTAATTTCTATATTAAAACTAAGCTTTTGCTAACTTCACACGGAACGCTTGCAGAAATAGACCCAGACACACAGACAGTAGAGACAAACCTGTCAAAGAAGGCAGCCAGCAGCCTCCTCAGCAGCACCTTGTGTCTGGTCCCTGCGCTCACATGACAGTTCATTAGCTGGGCTCGCGATATATACACAGAAGTACCTGCAAAGGATATCGACAAACAAATGAACCAACAAACCTCATCAGCACTTGTCACCATTTCCGTGATTCATTTACTGTCTCACTTTATGGCATGTTTGACCAAAGTTCTGATTTTAAGGGTCATATATGGTCAGGATCTTCACTTTGATTTGCTATTCTAGTGTATTTGCTTATCTAGTGACAACTCTGATTCATATCCAACACTGCAGCTGTAGGTGGGGAGTAAAGAGGCTGTGCTTTAGTGGCAAGTCATAGTTTAGAGTTTGGCTTTTTTTGCCATCTTAAATGTCTTTTCTGTTTGCTTTCTTTTTCTCTGTGTGTCCAATACTAGCTTGGCATAGCCCTACCTTATCTCCCTCCTTTTCTTCCTTTCTTTATTCATGGCTCTCTCATTCCCTCTCTGTCACACGCACACACTACACTGAAAGGTATGTAATTCAGGCCATAAGGTAACACAGTCCCAGGATGTCATCGACATAAACACAGTCAAATGTGCAAGGCCTCTGCATACTCTGCATGCCAATGCCAAGCCCGGTCATTTGAGGACAGCTTCCTATGAATATGTGTGTTCAGATACTTCGAATCAACTAACATTAGAATATTTCTGTAAGATTATTTTATCTCTAATATAGATTTTACATAAATCTTCCAAATATTCAAAGGTCTTAGATAAACACTGAAAAGCAAATCTGTGAATTTTACCGGCTCCTCTAAAACTCAAGTCTGTTGTTTTGTAAAGACAAAAAACAAAAAACGCCCACAGTTACAAACATACCTGAGACCAACTCTAGTTTCTCAGCTGGGTCGCCTTCCTCGTAAAGTTTGGGATGACAGCGGTTGCCTATCTGAGCGATGAGTTCTGCGGGGAGACACGTCAGGTCCCTGCCTCGCATCCGACCCCGTGTCTCTGTGTGGTCTGGTAGAGCCTCAACCCGCTCGCCAGCTGCTGGAGAAACACAATAGTGCACGATTAGAATAAAACTACACAGGGAAAATAAAGTGCACAGTACGATGCCTGCTAAAACTAAAAATTCATCATACTACTATTAAATCTGCATTATTAAATGATCTTTCACCTAAGATATTAGTGGATGTAAACCTTAAATTTTGTCTGTCTTGCAGGTGCATTTACATGTAGTACTCTGCCTCATATCCATTACCTGCAGCTCCCATGTTGAGCATGCTGTACATGGTATACATGTTGCAGATTTGCCTATATTGCTCTTCAGCACTTTCATCTGTTCCCTCTTCCTCTTCTTCATCATCATGGTAGCTGATGGGTGAGTCACTGGCGTACGTACTCAAGGTGCCGGGGCTGGCGCCCTCTGACATGCCGAGACCTGCCGCAGAGCTCCCGTTGGTGCCGGCACTGCCACTAAGCCCGCCACTGGCCACCATGCCCGCCAGGCTGGTTGCGGTGGCACCCATACCCATGGCCAGTCCGAGTGCTCCGGGGCTCTGAATCGCACTGCCCCGCACCGCCTCCTGGGAATAACGGGCTGCCTTCCTGGCCCCGCCTCCTCCTCCTGAGCCTACCCCACCTCCATCTCGGTTGCTGCCACCCTCCCACAGCCGCTTGGCTACAGGAGTGCAGACCACTGAGTAAGGTGTGGCTGCTTCTGGCTGGCTAGCTGGCTGCTCTGTCTTCACTCGTGATACCAGAGAGAGCGGCGTCAGGCAGGATGTCGGTCGGGCTGCACCGTTACTGGTTTGCGTTACAGGGCTCTGGGGCTCAGAGGGTGGGGCCTCCTCAGCATGAAGGCCCTGGGAGTCGCAGCTGGGGGAGGAGACCTAGAAACAAATGAATAAATGAACTCTGTGTCAGAATACATGAACACACTGATGTACCAACAGATATGCGTTTGCTCGCCTTTGATCTCAACTACCGTATCCCTTATCTGGAGTCATCATCACACTATAACTCTACTTCCACCAACATTTGTGCATACATGCTCCCCAGCAGATGAACCCTTCTATTCTGCCTCTTTCAACTGGTATAAACACTTTATTTTAAACAGTCAAACCAGCCAGATCACCAAAATTGGTACACTGCCACCAAGACTTTTGCCACCACCTTATACAGCTGATGTACAGTGAACGGTATTTGGTTTGTCTGTTTATGGTGCTTGAATGAGAAAATTAGTAGAATTAGTTGCTTGCGGTTTGTAAACACAACATTCAAAGTTGGCCCCTCCTCCCCAGCTCAACAGCTCCTCTTGGATGCGTGCTAACAATCTGGCACCTGGTCCAGGATTAACTTTGTCTATAGATTTTTTTTTTTTTTAGAAAAATCTCATCTGCCTTTAAATTTGGAAAACTCAAAGGCATCTTTTACCTTTTTCATATGTGTAATGTATGATAATGTGTCAAGATTATACTGAAAACTATTTCAACTTTACCTTGAGGAAGAATTCCGTGCCTTTTTCCATGATCTGTTGGATCTGCAGGAAGCCAGCAGTGTACATGAGGAGAAACTGGTCCCCCACCGTCATGCTGAGACGGCCTGTGTAGCAGAAAGCTAAAATCTGTTGGAAGCTCTGGGGCTGCACTGCCGATGGGAGCTCCACTATGGTTGGGTTCGTCTCGTTGCTGCTACCACCTCCGCTATTGCTGCTGAAAAGGTCGCGGAAATAAGAACTGCTAGCAGCCAGCACAGCCCGATGGGCCTAAGAAAAGAAAAACAGATAAGTAAAGCATTAGCCCATTAGAACTTTCAAAAGTAGTGCTTGAATATTAAATGTAAGATTGCTGCTGACATTAAACCAAAGAGCCTTAGATCAGACCTTCTAAGCAAAGAGCTTATGGTGAATGAACTCCATGCAGAGATACCTGATATGAAGACAGGATCGCAAGAGATTCTCATAAACTAACATACTGATTTGTTTAAGGCTGGAGAACACACAAACTAAAACTAGACTAGACTTTTATATGCTTACCTTCTTTTAGATTATAAGCTGAATCTTATAATTTAGTGCTTCGTGTTGTCTTGCGACGAAACAGCTGCACAAGAACGTTATCAATTAAAGCAGTTTAAACTTCATAAAGATATAAATTAAATTAAGTAAAGAAAACTAAGATATCAACCACTGACCAAGAATTTGGTGCTTACAATTAGTGAATTGAATTCAGTCGGTATTTAAGCTATTTATTTATTTGTCTTTAAATTAAATCAACTATTCAATAATAATATAATACCTAAAATACAAATTCTGGAGTTCTTCCAATGTTCCTGGAAAGAAAGCCATACTGCCATAGTGAAATCTTTCTTACTGTTGGGGTCATTAAAATACTGGGAGAAGGTAAGGAAAATCTGCCTTGATGTGAGTGATGAACGACATCCAACCAAGAGTTAGGGCACTGCTATTGGGGGTCTTAAAGAAGCCATTAACCCATTACCTTTACAGGAGAAGTGGGAAATGACAGGCCATTAAGGAGGTCCTGTTGTCATTCCAAGCAAAGACTACAACAAGCAAACCTTCAGCTAGAGAGGAAGAATTTAACAAAAACTCCTCCAGTACAATAGGATGCACACTGTTAAAAGAGCATTATTATTCAGATTGGACGGTGCATTGGCAAAAGAAAAGAAAAAAAGGGTAACAAAATGTAACAGGACTGCCGTGGAGCCACTTGTTTACACACAAGCCTTAACTTCTCTCTAAACCCAGCCTTGACTTTCAATGCAATTTCCACCATGAAAACAATAAAAACTTGCAGTCTCATCAGTACCTTGAAGGCATGGCCCTTGACCACCACGGAGACATCGCAGTAGAGGCCCTGCAGCCGCTGCTCATTCAGACACTCCAAAACATTGTTGCCAAAGTTTGGGATCGCCATCTGGAGGGTCTGGGCCATGGTGCGCCAACGCACACCACCAAAGGGTCTTGTTGGGAAAGAGAAACAGACAGAAAGAGAGGAACGACACAATTATACAAAGACAAAGTTATACTCCATCTACACAAACTCTGTGTATAACAGGGGTTCAACTTCACTTGGAAGCATCAGACCTTTGCTGTTCATACTTTGTGTATGTATATATACACACATATATGTATTATATATATTCACACATACATACACATACGAGTGACAAATTAAAGGAAAGAACTCATAAAATGAGTGGGGAAACATAATAAATGCTTCCACACGGGTCCACTGCATGGTACAATTAAGCAGTTAACATCCAATCATGCTCTGTGGTAAGTATAAAAGTGCTGAGTAGGCCCAGTTGATTCTGATTTTGTCAGAGGGATATTATAGTAGGGTTGGAGTGTATAATAAACCCCTCATTACAAAGACGAATGCACACTGGAAAGCTCAGCGGCGCAAAAAAACTTGTCTAAAGAGATGTCAAAGGTTGAGTTTTTAACCATATTTACGATATTCTTGACAGGTGGCGAGTGCATGTGTACAGGCCTGAATGCTTGACCCCACGTGATGGCCCCGACCCCTTACTAAGACAAGTAATGTTGGTCTTTCCTTTGTGACCCGTCTGTATATACATATAATTATTATAATATCAGATAGCTTGTGTAGCCAGATCTCCACTGAACTGAAAAAAGGTTGTTTTTTCTCTGACGAGTTCCAGACCTCTGTGATGATGAGGAAGATTGTGAAATGTATGTATTAACTGTAGATGAACTCATATAGTGACTGTATTACCCTGCGTTTACCCTTTCATACAGACGTTACACTGCTCTTTCCCTGGTCAGATGAGAGGAGTCATGGTCCCCGGTGGGATAACTTGGGTGCGTCCATTCACAGCAATGACAATGACGTGTTTAATCCTGTGCTGTGTGTCTTTGGTGTGATGGGGGTTATCAGCAGACAATGTGAGGAGGGGGTGTAATGTAACAAGGCTATGTTAAAAGACAGAAAGCTCAAGGAGCAACAGACCTAAAACAAAACAGGTGAGGAATGTCAGACTCTTCCATTATTGGATACAATAAAGTGCCAGTACGAAGTAACACCGGGACAAAGTAATACCAAACATGCACTACACCTAATGGAAGTCTATTTTTATTAGTACTAGGCCAAATTCTTCATCATGAAATGCCTCTATTCTAAATAAAGGCAGTCCCGAGTAGGAATTATATGCCTTGGCATATCCAACTGACATAGGCCACAAATATTTCTTCACACAGTCCCACTGAAGACTTTTAGCAGCCTCGCAGGACGTTGATATTTGAAACAAAGTTTTGCTGAAGCTTCCGAGGATAATCTACATTGCATTAATCCTATACGTCACTTCAGCCTTGCAGTAGTTGTTATTGCCAGGAGCAGGCTCAGTAAAAGCCTTTTTATTCTCTGCCTTCTATGAGCTATAAAATCCCGGTGTCCTTAGATAACTGGGTCATGTTCTGTTATTCTATGTGCAAATGTGTGTGTGGCCTAAACAAACACTGCGCATAGCATGTTTCCATTCACTTCTCTAAACAGTCACAGGCAAACATACCCCCTTGCCCTGCACCCTCTGGATGATTCCTATATTATGCCTGTAAATATTCAATTAAAGGAGAAGCCTCTGCTGTGGGTGTGAACACTGTGCTGCAAATATTAAACCAGATATTTTCCTCTAATGTTTGAATATGTATACATGACCTTATTTGACTGAACAGCCCGGGGAGGAATTTGGTTATCAGTACTGGGACATATACAAGCAGTATATGCCCTCTGTACCCGCTACCACCACTATATAACCTCCATAATAACAGCTAACAATAAACCAGAACCCTTGATAAACCCACGTGGCATTTCTGTTGACCATAAACCTTTACTCAAAGCAGAATGCCAGTAAGTGTTCTCACATATATACACAGATGAGTACACAGGCCTGCAATGTACAAAAGTGTGCATGCATACCCTAGACAAAGCTACTTTTCACACGGATGCTTTACCACTTAAAAGTGTTGCATGAATGCATGCTGCACACACACACACACACACACACACACACACACACACACACACAGATACATAACAAACAAAGACAATCTCTCAAACTGTGAGAACAAACTGATTGAATCCCACCCTGTGAGAGGCATACAACCAACTTTGGTGTGACTGACTGATGAGGGCTGGAGTGAGCCGCCCCATCATATCCAAAGCCTTTCATTTGGGACCTCGCCAAGCTCCAGGGTAAAGAGAAATGCTCTCTTTGTCTCTGTCTCACTCAAGCTCCCTCTCCCTCATACTAAAACACAGATGCGCACACACAAACTCAAACAAACCCACAAAAGGCACACTGAGTCACACACAGACATTAGACAATACTGCTTGTTTACAGTTTGGCGAGCCGCAGTAAGCACACATGCGTGCACATAAAGACACACAAACGCAGAGCTGAGAGCAGGGTGTGTTTGCACAGTTTGCCCTGACAGTGAGAGAGAATGTGGCTGTGTGTGTGTGTGTGTGTGCGTGTGTGTGGATATTTGTGTGTACATGTGTGTCTTTATGCACCAAGGAGGGGCAGTGAGGCCTGCAGAGATGAGAGGGATCATCTCAGGTCCTAACTCCATGAAATATATAGAGCGCAGCAATGTGAACGAATGAAATTCACCCGAACTCACCCCGTGGCTTAGATCTCATACCAACCAGCCTGGTGAGGAAAGTAGGTCAAACATACTCGCAACATACTTAAGACCTAGACTTTTCATAGTGAGCCTTAAGAAGGTTTCGCATGCATTCAAAAGGGCTTATGTTGCATTATGATGGGACGGCTGTCAACACATTTCGCAAATTTATACAAACTACTTTCCAGTTTATACAGTTCTACACAAGCCCTTGGCACTCATTTTGCTATATGGGTGATTACTGTGGAGTCATTGGTGCAGCTGGCACACAATGCATCCCCTCTATAGGCATTTCCTGGTTCCCATGCACCTACATGGCTGTGCTACTCCTATCAAGTCAAGACATACTGTATATACAGGCCTGATCAGAACAGGGAGCTTTCTAAACTTCTCAACTCCATATTTCTGAAGCTTTACCCCCCGACTCTAGTACAGAAGTGTTTAAACAGGAAAGGATGGATAATGGGGGGACAGATAAAGGGCTCTCTAACACACCGGGTTGACCGCGCCGTGTGTCAGTCTACCCTCCGGGAGTGCTCCACTGTCTGCTGGCACCGGAGCCGGGAGGCGACGGGAGAGGAGGAGGAGGAGGAGGAGGAAGGAGGGAGGGGGGCGACACAGGATGGCATCGAGCCCCGGTGATACCCGGGTGAGGGGGACGGTGTGTTACTGTTTACGTGCCATCAAAAAGGCATTCAAAGTACACTAATGTGAACCCCTCTTCGGCGGACTAAGCGGTCGCAATTCGTCCCCCCCCCCCCCTGTGGCTGACAGCGGCTCAAATGTTTGATGCCCTCTCTCCTATCCGCAGCGGGCCTATGGAGGTGGCTAATGGCTAAGCTAACGCTACTGTTAAATATTTTGGGTTCGCCCCGGCGCACCATCCACCTCACGCACACTCAGCCAAGCACAATGTCAAAAAGCATTTCCGCGATAGTCCACACTCAACAAAAGATAAACAACACACTTACTGCCTGTGCGGGACGTGGTAGCTGTGCCGCGACGCCGGTTGTCAAGCACCAAATGTCGCTTATTTAAATATTTGGGTGATGGGGGAAATCGCTCCCCCTGCCATTCTCCATTCTACCGACATCAACAGGTCATCCCAGGACACGCAGCAGCTGAGGGCGAGCCAGACGGAACCAGTGCGGCACAGAGCGAAGGGGGGGAGGTAGGGGTAGAGGAGGGGAGGGGAGAGGAGGGGAGAGGGGAGGGGAGGTGGGAGCACAACAAGGCACAATTCTTTTACAACCGGCGCTCGCGAAGAACCGCCGTGCCAAAAAAACCAAAAAAAAAAAAAAAAAAGCCTTGACTGCCATCGCATTTTCGCATATTTGAGAGAAGAGCTTACAAGCCGTGAAACCATTTAACTCCACAGACACCGCGCTGCACGCTGGTAACAGAGGGGTGCATTTCACTGTTTAGAGAAGAAAGTTTAGGACTGTGCCAACCCAGGACCCCTCCCCTATGTCGCGTACTTTATCCCAAACTTAAATTGTCCCGTGTCTGTTCAAACCCCCAAAACACCCACGGTGCTAACTGGGGACACCGGCGCAGACCCATAATCTCACCCCCCTACCACCACCACTGCCACCTCCCGACTCCCCCCTCCTCCACCACCTCCTCCGCCGCCGCCGCCGCCGGTGGATCCTCAGACGACCCCCGCCGGGCAAAGGCGCCTCACACATACGGCAGTGAAGACACTCACCCCCGTCGGCTGGGAAAAGTTGATGCGAGAGCGTCGGTTCAAAGGAGGAGAAGCAGCGCTCCCTCTCCCCGCTTTCCCTTGCTCCAGGCAGCCATTCAGTGTGAGCGGAGCGCCGATAGCAGAGCCATCGAGGGCGGTACAGTATCCCAGGGGACTGCGGAACACAGAGCCACTGATCGCGCGGAACACAAGAGGAGAAAGACAAGCATGACGCGCTCGTCATTCAATCGCATGATCGTCTCGAGCGCAGCCTCAATTTGGGGAGACCTATCCCACGGCGTGCACTGTTTGCGCATTGGCACAGCAACAGCGGCAGCCTGCAAGGAGAAACCGTATCTCTCTCTCTCTCTCTCTCTCTCTCTCTCTACCCTCTCTTTCTCCTCCTGCATATGAGCGACAGAATTGTAAAATGTGTGTGTGTGTGTGTGTGTGTGTGTGTGTGTGTGTGTGTGTGTGTGACTTACTTAACTTGAGTGAACTCGGGATAAAGCCTCGCCCTTGTTGGCTGTAAACAAGTGGAAACTTATATGTGCAAAATGCAGTCTGATATGACACCTATCATAACTACACGCTCATATGGCTGTGAGAAAAGCACGTTAGGGCCTTAGATCAAAACCACATGGGCACAGTGTATGGCTGCAGACTAGACTTCTGCTGCTCCAGGTTATTAGCATTATAGGCCTTTATGTGCACATACATTAACATCCATTATGGGCATTTATTGGGCATGTTTCATTTGCCAACAATACATTAAAAAACAACATAGAAAGTTAACCTTTGGAGTTGTGAATAAGTGTATTCAAAATGGCAGAGATGACTGTGTAGGCTGTATAAGATGAAAGAATAACCTGTGCCACTGTTGAAGAAGAAGGAAATAGAAACCAAACCTTGGTTATACTAAACAGTCGCATGGGAAAATATTATGCCACACTTGCTACTGGAAACTTTTGCTGTTCTGTTCATGTGCATTTTTGTCATGTACACATCACTGATAATTGTCTGTGCTCTTGCTAGAGAGAACAACATCTCAGACTGCAGTTTGGAGTTGGAGTATATCTTTAGTCACTCATTATTTTGATCTTGTCCCGTTATAGAGAATGGTGGGTATTTTATGTTTCATTGGCCTATTTGTGATATCCATTTGAGCAAAGGCTGACGATGAGAGGTCAAAATACTGGCAACACCACTGTGATCACAAAATTTTTAAATTGGATTTTAAGGAGAAAGTATACACACTAAAATATGAGTTGCATGTTATTTATATAACTGTGTACAGCTAATTTTAATTCATGAATTTGAACCAGTATCCTGAATATGTTATTAACAAATAATGGGGAAACTATTAATATAACATAAACAATTTACAGAATCCCTGATGATTTAATTGACAGTGGGAGGGGCATTTTCTGATCCAAAGCTGTTAGCCCTCCATTAAAATTATGTACATTTTAATGTAATATCTTAAAGTAAAATGTTATGACCCACAAGTCAGTGACTGAAATGTTATCTGGTGATATCATCCATCCATGTCACAATGTGTCACAAAGATTTTGCCAGTGTTGGTATTATTGAGCAGGCCAGGCACTTTTCAATCTTTAAGTATATTTTTCCAACAATAATTCCCAGTGGATGTACGTTAGACTTTTTGCATTTGATCACAGGAAAAAAAAAAATTGGCATGAAAGAGACATTTAATCTTTTCTGTGTCACTCCACCGATGGAGCCAGTTGTTTTTAGAAGCCACGCAGAAAGTTAAATGGAAATCATTGAGTGTGATGAGTGATTTTAGGTTACACGGTAGACATTTTGACTTGTCATAGTAAAAGCACAGGTGTTACTAACATCATAAACAATGGCTTTGTACAGTTCAAGCAGGCTACGTCATGACAGTGTCATGACAGTGTGCCAGAATAAACAATACCAGGATCATGAAACTGAAGCAGCTAAATGGAATTCACCCCCCATTCATTTCCTTATTCACACTTGGGACATGTGAAAATGCATTCAAAGATCACAAAAACACCCACGTTGTTCAGTGTGGTGTATTCATGTGTTAATGTTGTTTATTTTCAAATATTGTATTGCCACTCAAAGTGACATTGCAGAAAAGGTGCAGCTTTAAAACAAAATGGCTACACTTACGATATCACTGAATTAACATGCCTCAGGGTGTATTAACGTATAATATTAAAGTCTGCTGGAAATAAATATTATAACAAACAGTTGTCTTTTGTCTATTTAATAAAGGGAGGAATTCTGTCATGGCCCTGAACATAACTTATCTCGCCTTGGTAAGATAGACGTTTCACAGATGGTATTCGACAATAACATGCTCTTTCTTCCTTTTTAGGTGAGCAGGGTACAAAAGCACATATGTGTATCATGCAGGATTTTATGAGATGTAGTTGCAGACAAAGTCATGTACATGTTTAAAGGGAAAAATGTCCCTAGAAGCGCCAAAGCTCAGCACAGTTTACATAGTCATATACATGTCTGACGGTATACCAACTCAACACTACCATGTTGTATGTTCATATATGGGAAATTATATTTGCTCCTACACTCTTCAGTGTTGTTTATGTTAGGTGTACTAAGAAGAAAGAATATGTTGGCTCCCGATAATATGTGCAACAATATACTATAATAGACAAAACATACAGAAATGATCAATTTTCCCTCAACATCAGGTATAACATAATATACATTTTAAAATTCAGCTCTTGCTACAAGGTCTCCCATTATCTCTCTTTCAATCATAAGGATAGAATATAACAGAGAATGCACTTCAAATCCCCATATCACTATTAACCAACAGGAAGGTCTCCATTGGTCAAAGCCATAGAGCCCTGAAAATGTCCCAATGACTTCAATAAAGATGCAAGTGAGAAATGCAAAAAAGTAAAACAAATACATTTAAGTGTCTGATTTACAAATAGAAACAAAAGAGGTTATAGGGCAGAGAAAGAAAACATCCTACTCTCCTTGCATTTTTACTGCTGAGCAATGCTCTGAAGGGTCTTCCTGGAAATAGTCATTGTGGGAGCTTGTACCACCATCTAGAGGATAATGAAAAAGCAAATGAACAACACCTCTGCACTGTTTAGAGACAATAAAAACTTTGTGATATGAATGGATGGAAAAGACCAAGATACATAAAGTAGCAGCTAATTTATACCAACTCTAGGGTGGGGAAGAGCAAAGTCAGGTCTCCACAACGTGTCTTTGTGCCCTATCAGTTGGCTCCTGTGAGTCTCCAAAAAACTAGGGTTCACGGAGTAATACCAGGTGCGGGGCAGATAAATCTGTGGTTCTTGTGACTTTAGCATAGATAATACATTTCTTGCTACCTAAACGGGAATCTCTGCAAGGGTACAAACAACCTAAAGAACTATATAAGGAGACAGTGTAACTCACAGGTTACATGTTGCATAGACATGTTATACAAGCATGACCATGTTCAGGTGAAATTTTATGCAAATATTGCAAAAGGCACTATACAATAAGGAAATCTAATAATCTTCCATTAGAGAAGTGTCGCAGTAAGCCATGACAGGTTAACAGTGGGCCAGAGTAAATTAAGCCAGGACCCTCAAACAGAAGCAGTTGAATGGAATCCAGCCCTCAACCACTGTGCTTTTCTGTGTGTGTAAAAATGTGAGAATTTTAGAAATTTAAAACCTACCTGTGACACTACATTATAGGTCAATAATATTAACAGAACGTCTCCACCTGCTGGAAGTGTTTATACCTAAAAACACACATGCCTTACATTATCATTTGAAATGTTACTTCTGTTACTTCTGGTATTCTGTTTGGTTTCAATATTGTTCTGGAGCACCTCCACTTAAATATTAAAGTCTAGCAATTTGCAATCTGGACAAGCCTTCATTAGATACAGTCTCTGCTTGCCAACAGGTAGGTAACAATGTCACCAAATCACAATACTAACGCATTACATGTAATGGATTTACATAAGGTAACTGTTATCTGGTACATTTACATAAAAAAATAAAAATTTAAGAAAATTAAGAATTATTAACAGGATTGCAATTTTAAAATACATTTTTAAAAAATGAGGATACACTACCTTGTGCATGTGCAATGTCCACATACAACACTTTACAAGTCTCACAACCCCACTCTGGTTTATTAAGTGAACCCATACCTAATGCCAATTCATTATCATAGCCATTATTTTGTCTTTAAAGCAGAAAAAGTTACCAACATCACAGTACAGTGCAAGCTATACCTTCCAGCTGTGAAAATGGCCTGTGCAAAATATTTTAGTTTTACCATTTTCTTTTTAAGGTTACATTGTTCAGTCATCTCATAAAATATGTAAAAGTCAGTATCCGAAAGTAATCAAGTCACGTTATTTTAATACTGTGATACTGAGGTTATTAGAATTTCTATCAGATTACAATTTTTAAGTAACCATCCCAATCTTGTATGTGTATGACCAGAAAGAAACTCTTGGCTTCTCACTCTGCTTTTTCTTTTAAATTAACTTTTAGGCCTTTTATGCACTTATTATGGATAGAGACAGCAAGAGATAGACAGGAAACTGGGAATGACAGGCAGCAAAGGGCCACGGGATGGAATTGAACCTGGCCTGCTGCAATCAGGACTCAGGGCCAGATCATGGTCCCATGAAGCCCTGTTCCATAATCTAGCCTTGAGCACATGGGGTTTGTGCTCTACCAGGTGAGCCACTGGGGTTGCCCTCTGCTTTTTCTTCATATCCTTATATTGGGGTCATGTTGGTCATACAACAACCACCACTCCTTTCATTTAATTTAGTAATTTAATTGAACATGTATTTTAGAAAGTATCTGTACATGGAGTCGCCTTCCATGGAGTCCGCCATGTTTCTACAGTAGCAAACACTGACTGTATATAGTGACTTTTGAATTTTCCGCAGCCACGGTAGTTACTCCTACACACTTCACAGCTCGTTCTCATTCCCAGGTTGTCAAATACAAATGCAAGTGGTGTTCAGTTTGTTGCAATCTGCAACTTCACCGTTAGCTGCCACTAAATACTACACACTGGTCCTTTAAAAGGAAATGTTACAGAAAGGTCTGGATACTCAACTGTCTGCTTCTCTCTTGGTAAATCTAAGACAAGAGTAACCCTTCTTCAAACTCTTTATTTCCCACGTAATGCAGACTCAGCATGTATGCTCTTTTCAGCATGTGACTACTTCATGTTCAGTTCCAACACATTTATTGCTGGGAGCTGCTCAGTTCAACCACAGCCTTCAATAGTTGACCACTGGGTAGTTTGTGGTTGAGTACCTTGCTCAGTAGTGCCTCAACAGTAGTTGTAGAGAGAGAATAGTTCTGCTATATGTGTGATGATGTTTGGTTGTTACTTGTCCCTGGTTTACATCGACCCACCAAAGGGTTCAAGCAAGGACCCAGGGGGAGGGGTCCTTGGCATAAGAATATGGGAGGGTATGGGGGTGTTAGACAGGGAGACGCTCTCAGGCAGCCTGCTGGGCATGGTGCCCTGCTTCCCTGTTGCCGGTCCCTTGGCACTCAGACTGGCAGCAGCACGCTGTGACTCCATCCCAGCAACAGCATCACAGATTTGGGCTGGCTGCCACAGGGTCCCCAGCCAATCAGGACACACACAGTGCCAGATCGCTGCAGAGGTAGCCAATAGCAAGCCTGGATGTGCTTAGTGTCATCCCTCCCAGATGTGAATTCCTTTAAACCCACAAGGTACACAAATGCAGACACAAACACACAGCTCTAACTCAAAGACAGAGCGTGCACACATTTACAGTGACTCTGTATATGCATGAAAAGGAAAAGAGATACAAAAACAGTCTCTGTGTTTTCACATGAATGTACCTCTGTATCATACCACTTACTGAGTCCAGTTCAGACCTGTCAGCATCTTTAATGAACGTTTAAATGACTACACAACTGGTGTTTCTCACAGAGGCGGTAACTCACCGCTGCTTAATGTAGAGCTTTGTCTCACTCTTGTGGACATCCTGAGTAATACATGGGTTTTGGTATTGTGACAGGGTATACTGTAGTATTAGGCATATCCCTGAAGAATAAATACTCTTTTATATATGTGTCATAATTTATTTTATTGTAATAAAGAAGGCAAATCAGGCTTTCCATTTTTTAATCTTTATTTTTCTATATGTAAGAATAAGTCAAGTGATAAAAGATTTGTTAATTACAAACAATTTGAAGCCTAATTTATTTTATGTGCTTATTCATTTACTGTTGTCTTGTTTCCTCTTACACACATGAATTACATACATGCCACACCAAACATATAACTGAAACATGACAAGAAATCAATATAGAGTAAGCCAATTGCATAAAATATAATAACAAAAATATAAAAAAGAAAGAAAATTACACGTAAGGACAAATGCCGTCAAAAATCCTCAATTGTCCACACTTGGATGATAAAATGGGATCTGTCCAGCTATCATCATCATTTAGTCTAAAAAGAGCAAACAAAAGGAAGGTGTCATTTTTCTTGAAAAATATTAAGACATTAAATTCAAACAACCCCAAAATATGAATATTCTAGGATGATAACAATAATAAAAATAGCAGAAATATGAAAACCATGCAAGTGATATAAAATATTGTAGTGGAAGATTACTTTAAAAGATCAAAAATACTAAACTGCTGTATCTTACCTTAATTATGGTGGCCAAGACGCCATAGATGATGGCGATAAGGAAGAAAAGGAGGAAAGTAAAAGCCATATACCAGCTTTCCACATCTACGTTTTGAGTCACATCAGCATGCATGTTATCACCTAAGAAATTACAGTCCTCCATGATGTCTGTGAAAGAATAAAAATTTGATTTATCAGTTTATTTTTGTTACAAAATTGACTAATAGACAAGTGAAATCTCTCTATGCAAGAAAAATATGGATGGACCCACCAGCACCTGGTTTAGATATATTCAGGGATAGGGTGGTGTTGGCATGCATCACCCTGCAAGTGAGAACTGCCCCAGGTAACCAGTTGACTTGGGACAACCGAAGGTGGCTTTGGATGCTGAACTTTCCGTTTGGGCCTCTGTGGGGTTCACTAGTGTTGTAGTCCAACAGTTTCTTCGTGTCATTAAGAAACCAAGTGATGTTAATGGATGCTGGGCTGAAGCCAAAGACCAGGCACACAAGCTCACCAGAGCCCTTGAGCAAGGTGGCTGAAGGTACGCTGTGGGTCACTGTGGCTGGGGAAAATTCATAAAAGCTGTTTTAATTCATTTGTATTGAAGAAGGTCATGGAGCAAGAAAAATCAGGGAATGTTCATAAGTTATGGTACAAAAATTAGTCTCAGAAATTGAAAGCAGAATGCTTTCATAAAAACAGAGAGCAAATGTTCTAAAGTGATGTTTATTTTCTTCTTAACTTTTGTGTTAGCAAGACTGCTATTGAGCAACACTGAGATCTGAGATCTACTATGAATCTACTATGTAGGAATGTTCCAATCAAGTTTTTGTTTTTAGCCCAATCCTGATCCCAGGATTTTAAAAGGCGAGACTAGTTAATCCAGTACCTATTTTTACCTAAATGTTGTTTAAATAATTATTTGCTACATTGAAATGAAACAGCTGTAGCCTTCAAAATATGATGCACTAAGGAAAGTTTAACTGGAAGAAGGTGACTCCTGAAATTGATGTGAAGCGATCGACTGGAAAGGAGATGACTTCAAGGATATGACAATCAACTCACAGATTCAATGTAAACTAGGGACAGCTGAGATGACCTGCTGGTGTTTGTCATTTTAAATGGTGAAAGTGACACACTTGCTAATAAGAAAGAGAAAGGAGAGATACCGATTCTAAAGATCGGCTCGGGACATCTCTACTACGATGTAATGAACAACACCAGTGAACTGCTATTTTACGAAATACTCACCAAACACATCCTTTATAGTGCTTTCAAAAGGTGTTTCAGATGACTCATGTTTGACAACACAAGAGTACGTAGAGTCTTTGTCCTCAGTTTTGGATACATTCAGTCTGCTGCTCATTGAATAAGTGCTGCTCCCTGTGTATTTCCATGCAGGACTGTTGGTGTATCGAGTTGAAGGGAGTGTCTGGCCTTTCACTTTCCAGTATACTATGAGGTTAGATGGGAAAAATCCCGAAACGAGGCAAACAAGTGTGAAGACGTCTGGACGTAGACAGCTCGGCGGCAGTAGGTTGTATAATTTTCACAGTGGGTGGTTGCACATCTTGAGAAACACAAAGAAGAGAAAAGTAAAAAAAATTTTTAATGGGGAGTTAAGAAAACTTAAACTATGTATACCCTACAAATCAGAAACAGCTACAAGAAATCAAAAAGAATAAAATTCCTGGTTTTTATATGGAACATTACCTCTGCTTTTGCGTATATGGTCCTCGAAGCCATGGTTGGAACATCGGTGCTTTCCTTCACAAGACACTTGTTTAAATGCATGCCAATCCTCCGCTGACACATTTAGGAAACTCCTCAAAGTCTCCGTCCCATTGCTGTGACTCACTGGTGGCTCCGTATGGACATTGTGAGAATATTTCTTACCACTGATTTTCCAAGTGATGGAGAAATCAATTAGAGAAGGACCGACCAGAAGACAAGTGATAGTCACCTGTCCCTTATTCTGAATCTCCTGGAGTGGTGATCCCTGAACAAATACGGCAACTATCTGAGTAGATGTTGGAGTGACTGAAATAAGAACATGATATTAATTTGTGAGAAAATGTACCTTTCAAGTAATGATTTTGAGGAAAAATGTTTCAAATGCTTAATGGATGATTCAGAAATACTATGTATGTATTTATTCTCAACTTAATGAATTCATATGAACGTGGATTATGTTTTAATTTTACCTGAGCACAGGCTGATGTCTTTTCTGACATTTTTGTTCAGAGACTTGTCAGATACTTGACAAGTGAAGACCTTCCCTGTTTTCCACTCTGTTTGGGGGATATGAAGTTGACTGGTTACTGCCACAAGACCATCTGCATTCATGCTGATCTCATCGGTTGAAGAAAATCTTTGATGAGACTCATAAAACCATTTAATTTGAGGATTGAAGCCCCATCCAGAGCATAAGAGTCTCTGTGGTCCTGACTCTTCACTGGGGCCCACAAGGAGCTCCATTGATGGATTCACTGAATGAAAGATGAATCAGTGCATCAATTAATCAATTTAATAATTTAAACTGATTCATTAGGTGTGAAACATTAACTCAACATGTCATTAAGGGAAAGCAAAGTAACTCCTCTCACCAAAAATATTGCCTGTGGAGTTTGACTCAAAGATGCTGGAGAAGCCTTGATTCACTTTACAGGTGAAACTTGTGTCATTCTTCCAGTACTTTTGGAGGACAGTGAATCGTCTACTGATTGAATGGAGGCCTGGGGTTTCGGGAAGATCAACAAACTGCCTGTCAGAAATGTCAACCCCATTGGCCTGGAAGGTGACATAGAGGTCACTGGAGGAGAGTTGCGTGATGTCACACTCCAGCACAGCACTGTTTCTCTTCACCAAATCTGGGAGAGATCTCCTGATCTCAACCAATGGAGCTGTAACTGCAGGTTCTGGATGATACGGAAACAAAACAAAGTCAATGTCATTTTCACTCTTTATTGTGAAAAAACACTCAATTTTAATGTTGCATAGTTGCCTTACCTGCAACATTCACAGTCTTTTTGGTGGGTGAGAAGCACTTATGGACAGCTCTGCATGTTATATTCTTCAGTTTTTTCCACTGGCTTAAAGAAAATGTCACTTTACTTATTATGTGAGTCGTGTTTGTATCCCGGCTCACTGTGTTACTGGTTGAGACCGTCCCATCCATAAGCCAGGTGATGTTGGCACCAAAAACAGTGCGGACCAAACATGTTGCTTTAACCTCAGATGTTGCCATCATTACTGTCTTGAAACTGGGACTCTCCACATGAATGGAAGGAGGGGAGCCTGAATGAGCTGACACTTGAAAATACAAAGAAAAAGAATTATGAAGCAACATCCAATCATCAATAAAGTACAACAGCGTTTCTCAAACATTTCACACTGCCTACCCCCTCTGGAACTATTTGGCTCTCTACATTCTACCATTATGACCAACATGAAAATATAGTAGCGTAGCCTGACCCTATTCAGCTATGAACAGGTCACGCAGGAGGCAGTTTTATTCCTTAGAAGCAAATGATTTATTGTTCATTGCTGCTGAATCTGTAATGCAACCGGTTCAAGAAACATCATAGCTCATGACTAATTATGGTTGTAAATATGTGCTACATGCATGAATGTGACTAGGTAACAGGCTGATATTGAAACAAAATATTACAGGAAATGCAAAACTTATTTTAAACTACATTTCAGATATTTCATAGTTTAAGTAGAGTTTTTTTATTCAAAGGTTTTTATTATTTTGATAGTATTATGTTTTTAAATGAATATTTTATACAATAAAAGAAAAAGTTTAGAGGTACATCTGTGTACCATTAGAGGGAGCTCAAATACTATCTCTGCTATACCTACCACAGCTTGGGGACCAGTGAACTATGTTGTTCTAAACTATATTTTCTCCACACCCTGTAATTGTGGGAAAAGTTGGTTTTCGAAGTGTTTGAATACGTATGAATTACCACATTACATGTAAGTAGTTATATGTTTTTTGTGCTGCTGAATCTATAATGCAACCGGTTCAAGAAACATCAGTAATTTGGTGGAAAAAAAGGTACTCCTTGCCCGTACTTCTCTTTCTAATAGTGTCCCTTTGGAGACATGATTGCAGTGTTTTTGAACCATTCATTGTACCTCTGCTTACTAGCTTACCATCATATTTTAGCTCATGACTAATTATGGTTGTAAATATGTGCTACATGCATGAATGTGACTAGGTAACAGGCTGATGTTGAAACAAAATATTACAGGAAATGAAAAACTTATTTTAAACTACATTTCAGACATTTCATAGTTTAAGTAGAGTATTTTTATTCAAAGGGTTTAGTATTTTGATAGTATTATGTTTTTAAATTAATATATTTCACTAAAAAAGAAAAGGTTTAGAGATACATCTGTGTACCACTAGAGGGAGCTCAAATACTATCTTTGCTACACCTACCACAATTTGTGGACCTGTGAACTATATTATTCTAAAATATATTGTCACCACACCCTCTAATTGTGACACGAGTTGCTTCCAAAGTGTTTAAATATGTATGAATTCCCACATTACATGTAAGTAGTTATATGTTTTTTGTGCAGGACAGATTGAACAAATCTGAGATACTGCTCTTCCCATGTTTATGTTGTGTGTAATGTACTCTATGCAAGATTTTAAATTATATCATTTGGATTTTGATGGTAGTTGACACTCAGGATATATCATTGCAAAGATTCTTTGAGTTTTTGACATCAGATCAATATGTTGAGGTCTCATTCCAATTTCTATGATGGGAGGAAACTGGTCTCTTCTTTTAGTGGTTTGACCAGAGATAGTGTTTAAGTAAAGACATCTATGACAGCAGGTCTTTTGATAGTAGGTGTTTAAGTGATAAGTATTACTGTATATCATCAGCATATGAACTGATTTTGTGATTACTTGTACCAGTTGGAATAGCTGCAACATTTGTGTTTTGATGTATTACAGAAGTAAGTGAGTTATTATAAACAAAAGAAAGTGAGGTTGATAATGGGCATCCTTGTCTTCATGTAACTGACATTTTTGAAATGTGAATCAACTTGTGATGACTGACAAAGTCTAAAAGGCAGTGAAGATTGGATTTACATTTGACAGGTGACCAGAGAACTTTGAATTAATGTAAATCTTCATTGATTTCAGCTGGATATAAAAGTAGGTGATTGTTTGCCATGATGGTAGCTTAACAACAGTGGGGGATATGGTGGTGGCTGTGTATCTGTGAGCTTCTTCTCCCCTCTTTAGTTAACAAAAAATTATTAATGCAGCTCTCAGTTTACACTGTAATACTTGTCGCATGTACAATACTGTCATTAGGCACACGGCTTGACATTGTTACTCTCCTTATGTTTTAATTTTACCTGAGCACAGGCTGATGTCCTTTCTGACATTTATGTTCAGAGACTTGTCAGATACTTCACAAGTGAAGACCTTCCCTGTTTTCCACTCTGTTTGAGGGATATGAAGTTGACTGGTTACTGCCACACGACCATCTGCATTCATGCTGATCTCATCGGTTGAAAGAGATCTTTGCTGAGACTCATAAAACCATTTAATTTGAGGATTAAAGCCCCATCCAGAGCATATGAGTCTCTGTGGTCCTGACTCTTCACTGGGGCCCACAAAGAGGTCCATTGTTGGGTTCACTGAATGAAAGATGAATCAGTGCATCAATTAATCAATTTAATAATTTAAACTGATTCATTAAGTGTGAAACATTAACTCAACATGTCATTAAGGGAAAGCAAAGTAACTCCTCTCACCAAAAATATTGCCTGTGGAGTTTGACTCAAAGGTGCTGAAGAAGCCTTGATTCACTTTACAGGTGAAACTTGTGTCATTCTTCCAGTACTTTTGGGGGACAGTGAAGCGTCTACTGATTGAATGAAGGCCTGGGGTTTCAGGAAGATCAACAAACTGCCTGTCAGAAATGTCAACCCCATTGGCCTGAAAGGTGACATAGAGGTCACTGGAGGAGAGTTGCGTGATGTCACATTCCAGCACAGCACTGTTTCTCTTCAGCAAATCTGGGAGAGATCTCCTGATCTCAACCAATGGAGCTGTAACTGCAGGTTCTGGATGATACGGAAACAAACAAAGTTAATGTCGTTTTCATTCTTCATTGTGACAAAACACTCAATTTTAATATTGTATAGTCATCTTACCAGCAAAATTCACAGTCTTTTCGGAGGGTGAGAAGCACTTGTGGACAGCTCTGCATGTTATATGCTTCAGTTGTTTCCACTGGCTTGAGGAAAATGTCACTTCACTGACCATATGAGTTGTGTTTGCAGCTTGCTTCACCTTGCTACTTGGTATTACTTTGGAATCCATCAGCCAGGTCACCTCGGCATCAAAAGCAGTGCAAAGGAAACATGTTGCTTTGACCTCAGATGTTGCCATCATTACTGTCTTGAAACTAGGAATCTCCATATGAATGGATGGTTGGGCGCTTGAGTAAGCTGACGTTTGAAAATACAAAGAATAAGAATCATGAAGAAACATCAATCCTAAAAAACAAAGTAATTGTAAAAGACTATAGTGACATTACATTTCAAAACACTTTTTGGAAGGTCAAAGTGTTCCTAGTAAACAGATGAGGTTGAGTCTCTCCTTGATTTTACCTGAGCAGAGGCTGATGTCCTTTTCAATGGTTTTGTCCAGGGACTTGTCAGATACTTCACAAGTGAAGCCCTTTCCTGTTTTCCACTCTGTTTGAGGGATATGAAGTTGACTGGTTACTGCCACACGTCCATCTGCATTCATGCTGATCTCATCGGTTGAAGGAGATCTTTGCTGAGACTCAGCAAACCATTTAATTTGAGGGTCGAAGCCCCATCCAGAGCATAAGATTATCTGTGGTCCTGACTCTTCACTGGGGCCCACAAGGAGCTCCAGTGATGGATTCACTGAATGAGAGATGAATCAGTGCATCAATTAATCAATTTAATCATTTAAACTGATTCATTAAGTGTGAAACATTAACTCAACATGTCATTAAGGGAAAGCAAAGTAACTCCTCTCACCAAAAATATTGCCTGTGGAGTTTGACTCAAAGGTGCTGAAGAAGCCTTGATTCACTTTACAGGTGAAACTTGTGTCATTCTTCCAGTACTTTTGGGGGACAGTGAAGCGTCTACTGATTGAATGGAGGCCTGGGGTTTCAGGAAGATCAACAAACTGCCTGTCAGAAATGTCAACCCCATTGGCCTGAAAGGTGACATAGAGGTCACTGGAGGAGAGTTGCGTGATGTCACACTCCAGCACAGCACTGTTTCTCTTCAGCAAATCTGGGAGAGATCTCCTGATCTCAACCAATGGAGCTGTAACTGCAGGTTCTGGATGATACGGAAACAAAACAAAGTTAATGTCGTTTTCATTCTTCATTGTGACAAAACACTTAATTTTAATGTTGTATAGTTGTCTTACCTGCAACATGCACAGTCTTTTCAGTGGGTGAGAAGCACTTATGGACAGCTTTGCATGTTAAATCCTTCAGTTTTTTCCGCTGGCTTGAGGAAATTGTCACTTTACTTATTATGTGAGTCGTGTTTGTATCCTGGCTCACTGTATTACTGGTTGAGACTGTCCCATCCATAAGCCAGGTGATGTTGGCACCAAAACCAGTGCGGACCAAACATGTTGCTTTAACCTCAGATGTTGCCATCATTACTGTCTTGAAGCTGGGAATCTCCACATGAATGGAAGGAGGGGAGTCTGAATGAGCTGACACTTGAGAATACACAGAAAAAGAATTATGAAACAACATCCAATCATCAATAAAGTACAACAGTATTTCTCAAAAACGTTCACACTGCCTACCCCCTCAGGAACTATTTGGCTCTTCACATTCTACCATTATAACCAACATGAAAATACAGTAGCGTAGCCTGACCCTATTCAGCTATGTACAGGTCATGCAGGAGGCAGGTTCATTCCTAAGAAGCAAATTATTTATTGTTCATTGCTGTTGAATCTGTAATGCAACCGGTTCAAGAAACATCAGTAATTTAGTGGGAAAAAAGGTACGCCTGATCCATACTTCTCTTTCCAGTTGTGTCCCTTTGGAGCCATGATTGCAGTGTTTTTGAACCATTCATTTTACCTCTGCTTACTAGCTTAACATAATATTTTATCTCATGACTAATTATGGTTGTAAATATGTGCTACATGCATGAATGTGATTAGGTAACAGGCTGATATTGACACAAAACATTACAGGAAATGCAAAACTTATTTTAAACTACATTTCAGACACTTAATAGTTTAAGTAGAGTTTTTTTTATTCAAAGGTTTTTGTTATTTTGATTGTATTATGTTTTTAAATGAATGTATTTCACTAAAAAAGAAAAAGTTTAGACATACATCTGTGTAACACTAGAGGGAGCTCAAATACTATCTCTGCTACACCTACCACAGTTGGGGACCAGTGGACAATGTTATTCTAAAATATATTTTCTCTACACCCTCTAATTGTGGGAAAACTTGATTTTGAAGTGTTTGAATACGTATGAATTCCCACATTACATGTAAGTAGTTATATGTTTTTGTGCAGGACAGATTGAACAAATCTGTTCATCTGGTGGTGATATGGTGGTGGCTATGTGTCTGTGAGCTTCTTCTGCCCTCTTTAGTTTAAAAAAATGATTAATGAAGCTCTCAGTTTACACTGTAATAGCCTACTTGTCATATGGACAAAGTACTGTCATTAGGCACATGGCTTGACATTGTTACTCTCCTTATGTTTTAATTTTACCTGAGCACAGGCTGATGTCTTTTCTGACATTGATGTTCAGAGACATGTCAGATGCTTCACAAGTGAAGACCTTCCCTGTTTTCCACTCCGTTTGAGGGATATGAAGTTGACTGGTTACTGCCACACGACCATCTGCGTTCATGCTGATCTCATCGGTTGAAGAAAATCTTTGATGAGACTCATAAAACCATTTAATTTGAGGATTGAAGCCCCATCCAGAGCATAAGAGTCTCTGTGGTCCTGACTCTTCACTGGGGCCCACAAGGAGGTCCATTGTTGGGTTCACTGAATGCGAGATGAATCAGTGCATCAATTAATCAATTTAATAATTTAATCTGATTCATTAAGTGTGAAACATTAACTCAACATGTCATTAAGGGAAAGCAAAGTAACTCCTCTCACCAAAAATATTGCCTGTGGAGTTTGACTCAAAGATGCTGGAGAAGCCTTGATTCACTTTACAGGTGAAACTTGTGTCATTCTTCCAGTACTTTTGGGGGACAGTGAAGCATCTACTGATTGAATGGAGGCCTGGGGTTTCAGGAAGATCAACAAACTGCCTGTCAGAAATGTCAACCCCATTGGCCTGAAAGGTGATATAGAGGTCACTGGAGGAGAGTTGCGTGATGTCACACTCCAGCACAGCACTGTTTCTCTTCAGCAAATCTGGGAGAGATCTCCTGATCTCAACCAATGGAGCTGTAGCTGCAGGTTCTGGATGATACGGAAACAAAACAAAGTTAATGTCGTTTTCATTCTTCATTGTGACAAAACACTCAATTTTAATGTTGCATAGTTGTCTTACCTGCAACATTCACAGTCTTTTCAGTGGGTGAGAAGCACTTATGGACAGCTTTGCATGTTATATTCTTCAGTTTTTTCCACTGGCTTGAGGAAATTGTCACTTTACTTATTATGTGAGTCGTGTTTGTATCCTGGCTCACTGTATTACTGGTTGAGACCGTTCCATCCATAAGCCAGGTGATGTTGGCACCAAAAACAGTGCGGACCAAACATGTTGCTTTAACCTCAGATGTTGCCATCATTACTGTCTTGAAGTTGGGAATCTCCACATGAATGGAAGGAGGGGAGTCTGAATGAACTGACACTTGAAAATACACAGAAAAAGAATTATGAAGCAACATTCAATCATCAATAAAGTACAACAGCGTTTCTCAAACTTTTCACACTGCCTACCCCCTCAGGAACTATTTGGCTCTCTACATTCTATCATTATGACCAACATGAAAATATAATAGCGTAGCCTGACCCTATTCAGCTATGAACAGGTCACGCAGGAGGCAAGTTTATCCTTAGAAACAAATGATTTATTGTTCATTGCTGCTGAATCTGTAATGCAACCGGTTCAAGAAACATCATAGCTCATGACTAATTATGGTTGTAAATATGTGCTACATGCATGAATGTGACTAGATAACAGGCTGATATTGAAACAAAATATTACAGGAAATACAAAACTTATTTTAAACTACATTTCAGATATTTCATAGTTTAAGTAATGTTTTTTTATTCAAAGGTTTTTATTATTTTGATAGTATTATGTTTTTAAATGAATATTTTATACAATAAATGAAAAGGTTTAGAGGTACATCTGTGTACCATTAGAGGGAGCTCAAATACTATCTCTGCTATACTTACCACAGCTTGGGGACCAGTGAACTATGTTGTTCTAAACTATATTTTCTCCACACCCTGTAATTGTGAGACGAGTGGTTTCCGAAGTCTTTGAATACGTATGAATTACCACATTACATGTAAGTAGTTATATGTTTTTTGTGCTGCTGAATCTATAATGCAACCGGTTCAAGAAACATCAGTAATTTGGTGGAAAAAAAGGTACTCCTTGCCCGTACTTCTCTTTCTAATAGTGTCCCTTTGGAGACATGATTGCAGTGTTTTTGAACCATTCATTGTACCTCTGCTTACTAGCTTACCATCATATTTTAGCTCATGACTAATTATGGTTATAAATATGTGCTACATGCATGAATGTGACTAGGTAACAGGCTGATGTTGAAACAAAATATTACAGGAATTGAAAAACTTATTTTAAACTACATTTCAGACATTTCATAGTTTAAGTAGAGTTTTTATTCAAAGGGTTTAGTATTTTGATAGTATTATGTTTTTAAATGAATATATTTCACTAAAAAAGAAAATATTTAGAGATACATCTGTGTACCACTAGAGGGAGCTCAAATACTATCTTTGCTACACCTACCACAATTTGTGGACCTGTGAACTACATTATTCTAAAATATATTGTCACCACACCCTCTAATTGTGAGACGAGTTGCTTCCAAAGTGTTTGAATATGTATGAATTCCCACATTACATGTAAGTAGTTATATGTTTTTTGTGCAGGACAGATTGAACAAATCTGAGATACTGCTCTTCCCATGTTTATGTTGTGTGTAATGTACTCTATGCAAGATTTTAAATTATATCATTTGGATTTTGATGGTAGTTGACACTCAGGATATATCATTGCAAAGATTCTTTGAGTTTTTGACATCAGATCAATATGTTGAGGTCTCATTCCAATTTCTATGATGGGAGGAAACTGGTCTCTTCTTTTAGTGGTTTGACCAGGGATAGTGTTTAAGTAAAGACATCTATGACAGCAGGTCTTTTGATAGTAGGTGTTTAAGTGATAAGTATTACTGTATATCATCAGCTTATGAACTGATTTTGTGATTACTTGTACCAGTTGGAATAGCTGCAACATTTGTGTTTTGATGTATTACAGAAGTAAGTGAGTTATTATAAACAAAAGAAAGTGAGGTTGATAATGGGCATCCTTGTCTTCATGTAACTGACATTTTTTGGAATGTGTATCAACTTGTGATGACTGACAAAGTCTAAAAGGCAGTGAAGATTGGATTTACATTTGACAGGTGACCAGAGAACTTTGAATTAATGTAAATCTTCATTGATTTCAGCTGGATATAAAAGTAGGTGATTGTTTGCCATGATGGTAGCTTAACAACAGTGGGGGATATGGTGGTGGCTGTGTATCTGTGAGCTTCTTCTGCCCTCTTTAGTTAACAAAAAATTATTAATGCAGCTCTCAGTTTACACTGTAATACTTGTCGCATGTACAATACTGTCATTAGGCACACGGCTTGACATTGTTACTCTCCTTATGTTTTAATTTTACCTGAGCACAGGCTGATGTCCTTTCTGACATATATGTTCAGAGACTTGTCAGATACTTCACAAGTGAAGATCTTCCCTGTTTTCCACTCTGTTTGGGGGATATGAAGTTGACTGGTTACTGCCACACGACCATGTGGGTTCATGCTGATCTCATCGGTTGAAGAAGATCTTTGCTGAGACTCATAAAACCATTTAATTTGAGGATTAAAGCCCCATCCAGAGCATACGAGTCTCTGTGGTCCTGACTCTTTACTGGGGCCAACAAGGAGCTCCATTGATAGGTTCACTGAATGAGAGATGAATCAATGCATCAATTAATCAATTTTAAATTTTAAATGATTCATTAAGTGTGAAACATTAACTCAACATGTCATTAAGGGAAAGCAAAGTAACTCCTCTCACCAAAAATATTGCCTGTGGAGTTTGACTCAAAGGTGCTGAAGAAGCCTTGATTCACTTTACAGGTGAAACTTGTGTCATTCTTCCAGTACTTTTGGGGGACAGTGAAGCGTCTACTGATTGAATGGAGGCCTGGGGTTTCAGGAAGATCAACAAACTGCCTGTCAGAAATGTCAACCCCATTGGCCTGAAAGGTGACATAGAGGTCACTGGAGGAGAGTTGCGTGATGTCACACTCCAGCACAGCACTGTTTCTCTTCAGCAAATCTGGGAGAGATCTCCTGATCTCAACCAATGGAGCTGTAACTGCAGGTTCTGGATGATACGGAAACAAAACAAAGTTAATGTCGTTTTCATTCTTCATTGTGACAAAACACTCAATTTTAACATTGTATAGTCATCTTACCAGCAAAATTCACAGTCTTTTCGGTGGGTGAGAAGCACTTGTGGACAGCTCTGCATGTTATATGCTTCAGTTGTTTCCACTGGTCTGAGGAAAATGTCACTTCACTGACCATATGAGTTGTGTTTGCAGCCTGCTTCACCTTGCTACTTGGTATTACTTTGGAATCCATCAGCCAGGTCACCTCTGCATCAAAAGCAGTGCAAAGGAAACATGTTGCTCTGACCTCAGATGTTGCCATCATTACTGTCTTGAAACTAGGAATCTCCATATGAATGGAAGGTTGGGCGCTTGAGTAAGCTGACGTTTGAAAATACAAAGAAAAAGAATCATGAAGAAACATCAATCCTAAAAAAACAAAGTAATTGTAAAAGACTATAGTGACATTACATTTCAAAACACTCTTTTGAAGGTCAAAGTGTTCCTAGTAAACAGATGAGGTTGAGTCTCTCCTTGATTTTACCTAAGCAGAGGCTGATGTCCTTTTCAATGGTTTTGTCCAGGGACTTGTCAGATACTTCACAAGTGAAGCCCTTTCCTGTTTTCCACTCTGTTTGAGGGATATGAAGTTGACTGGTTACTGCCACACGTCCATCTGCATTCATGCTGATCTCATTGGTTGAAGGAGATCTTTGCTGAGACTCAGCAAACCATTTAATTTGAGGGTCGAAGCCCCATCCAGAGCATAAGATTATCTGTGGTCCTGACTCTTCACTGGGGCCCACAAGGAGCTCCATTGATGGATTCACTGAATGAGAGATGAATCAGTGCATCAATTAATCAATTTAATCATTTAAACTGATTCATTAAGTGTGAAACATTAACTCAACATGTCATTAAGGGAAAGCAAAGTAACTCCTCTCACCAAAAATATTGCCTGTGGAGTTTGACTCAAAGGTGCTGAAGAAGCCTTGATTCACTTTACAGGTGAAACTTGTGTCATTCTTCCAGTACTTTTGGGGGACAGTGAAGCGTCTACTGATTGAATGGAGGCCTGGGGTTTCAGGAAGATCAACAAACTGCCTGTCAGAAATGTCAACCCCATTGGCCTGAAAGGTGACATAGAGGTCACTGGAGGAGAGTTGCGTGATGTCACACTCCAGCACAGCACTGTTTCTCTTCAGCAAATCTGGGAGAGATCTCCTGATCTCAACCAATGGAGCTGTAGCTGCAGGTTCTGGATGATACGGAAACAAAACAAAGTTAATGTCGTTTTCATTCTTCATTGTGACAAAACACTCAATTTTAATGTTGTATAGTTGTCTTACCTGCAACATTCACAGTCTTTTCAGTGGGTGAGAAGCACTTATGGACAGCTTTGCATGTTATATTCTTCAGTTTTTTCCACTGGCTTGAGGAAATTGTCACTTTACTTATTATGTGAGTCGTGTTTGTATCCTGGCTCACTGTATTACTGGTTGAGACCGTTCCATCCATAAGCCAGGTGATGTTGGCACCAAAAACAGTGCGGACCAAACATGTTGCTTTAACCTCAGATGTTGCCATCATTACTGTCTTGAAGCTGGGAATCTCCACATGAATGGAAGGAGGGGAGTCTGAATGAACTGACACTTGAAAATACACAGAAAAAGAATTATGAAGCAACATTCAATCATCAATAAAGTACAACAGCGTTTCTCAAACTTTTCACACTGCCTACCCCCTCAGGAACTATTTGGCTCTCTACATTCTATCATTATGACCAACATGAAAATGCAGTAGCGTAGCCTGACCCTATTCAGCTATGTACAGGTCATGCAGGAGGCAGGTTTATTCCTAAGAAGCAAATTATTTATTGTTCATTGCTGTTGAATCTGTAATGCAACCGGTTCAAGAAACATCCGTAATTTAGTGGGAAAAAAGGTACGCCTGATCCATACTTCTCTTTCCAGTTGTGTCCCTTTGGAGCCATGATTGCAGTGTTTTTGAACCATTCATTTTACCTCTGCTTACTACCTTAACATAATATTTTATCTCATGACTAATTATGGTTGTAAATATGTTCTACATGCATGAATGTGACTAGGTAACAGGCTGATATTGACACAAAACATTACAGGAAATGCAAAACTTATTTTAAACTACATTTCAGATATTTCATAGTTTAAGTAGAGTTTTTTTTATTCAAAGGTTTTTATTATTTTGATAGTATTATGTTTTTAAATGAATGTATTTCACTAAAAAAGGAAAAGTTTAGACATACATCTGTGTACCACCAGAGGGAGCTCAAATACAATCGCTGCTAAACTTACCACAGTTGGGGACCAGTGGACAATGTTATTCTAAAATATATTTTCTCTACACCCTCTAATTGTGGGAAAACTTGCTTTTGAAGTGTTTGAATACGTATGATTTCCCACATTACATGTAAGTAGCTATATGTTTTTTGTGCAGGACAGATTGAACAAATCTGTTCATCTGGAGGTGATATGGTGGTGGCTATGTGTCTGTGAGCTTCTTCTGCCCTCTTTAGTTTACAAAAAATGATTAATGAAGCTCTCAGTTTACACTGTAATACTTGTCATATGGACAAAGTACTGTCATTAGGCACATGGCTTGACATTATTACTCTCCTTATGTTTTAATTTTACCTGAGCACAGGCTGATGTCTTTTCTGACATTGATGTTCAGAGACTTGTCAGATGCTTCACAAGTGAAGACCTTCCCTGTTTTCCACTCTGTTTGAGGGATATGAAGTTGACTGGTTACTGCCAGACGGCCATCTGCATTCATGCTGATCTCATCGGTTGAAGAAGATCTTTGCTGAGACTCAGAAAACCATTTAATTTGAGGATTAAAGCCCCATCCAGAGCACAAGAGTCTCTGTGGTCCTGACTCTTCACTGGGGCCCACAAGGAGCTCCATTGATGGATTCACTGAATGAAAGATGAATCAGTGCATCAATTAATCAATTTAATAATTTAAACTGATTCATTAGGTGTGAAACATTAACTCAACATGTCATTAAGGGAAAGCAAAGTAACTCCTCTCACCAAAAATATTGCCTGTGAAGTTTGACTCAAAGGTGCTGAAGAAGCCTTGATTCACTTTACAGGTGAAACATGTGTCATTCTTCCAGTACTTTTGGGGGACAGTGAAGCGTCTACTGATTGAATGGAGGCCTGGGGTTTCAGGAAGATCAACAAACTGCCTGTCAGAAATGTCAACCCCATTGGCCTGAAAGGTGACATAGAGGTCACTGGAGGAGAGTTGCGTGATGTCACACTCCAGCACAGCACTGTTTCTCTTCAGCAAATCTGGGAGAGATCTCCTGATCTCAACCAATGGAGCTGTAACTGCAGGTTCTGGATGATACGGAAACAAAACAAAGTTAATGTCGTTTTCATTCTTCATTGTGACAAAACACTCAATTTTAATGTTGTATAGTTGTCTTACCTGCAACATTCACAGTCTTTTCAGTGGGTGAGAAGCACTTATGGACAGCTTTGCATGTTATATTCTTCAGTTTTTTCCACTGGCTTGAGGAAACTGTCACTTTACTTATTATGTGAGTCGTGTTTGTATCCTGGCTCACTGTATTACTGGTTGAGACCGTCCCACCCATAAGCCAGGTGATGTTGGCACCAAAAACAGTGCGGACCAAACATGTTGCATTAACCCCAGATGTGTCCATCATTACTGTCTTGAAGTTGGGAATCTCCAGATGAATGGAAGGAGGGGAGTCTGAATGAGCTGATACTTGAAAATACACAGAAAAAGAATTATGAAGCAACATCCATACAAAGTACAACAGTGTTTCTTAAACCTTTCACACTGCCTACCCCCTCAGGAACTATTTGGCTCTTCACTTTCTACCATTATGACCAACATGAGCATGCAGTAGCGTAGCCTGATCCTATTCAGCTAAAGACAGGTCACGTAGGAGGCAGGTTTATTCCTAAGAAGCAAATGATTTATTGTTCATTGCTGTTGAATCTGCAATGCAACCGGTTCAAGAAACATCAGTAATTTGGTGGAAAAAAAGGTACTCCTGGTCCACACTTGTCTTTCCAATATTGTCCTTTTGGAGCCATGATTGCAGTGCTTTTGAACCATTCATTGTACATCTGCTTACTAGCTCAAACATCATATTTTAGCTCATGACTAATTATGGATGTAAATATGTGTTACATGCATGAATGTGACTAGATAGCAGGCTGATATTGACACAAAATATTACAAGAAATGCAAAACTTATTTTAAACTACATTTCAGACACTTAATAATTCAAGTAGAGTATTTTTATCCAAAGGTTTTTATTATTTTGATAGTATTATGTTTTTAAATGAATGTATTTCACTAAAAAAGAAAAAGTTTAGACATACATCTGTGTACCACTAGAGGGAGCTCAAATACTTTCTCTGCTAAACCTACCACAGTTGGGGACCAGTGGACAATGTTATTCTAAAATATATTTTCTCTACACCCTCTAATTGTGGGAAAACTTGCTTTTGAAGTGTTTGAATACGTATGAATTCCCACGTTACATGTAAGTAGTTATATGTTTTTGTGCAGGACAAATTGAACATATCTGAGATACTGCTCTTCCCATGTTTATGTTTTGTGTAATGTACTCTATGCAAGATTTACAATTGTGTCATTTGGATTTTGATATTAGTTGACACTCAGGATATATTATTGCAAACATTCTTTGAGTTTTTTGACATCAGATCAATATGTTGAGGTCTCATTCCAATTTCTATGATGGGAGAAAACTGCTCTCTTCTTTTAGTGGTTAGACCAGAGATAGTGTTTAAGTAAAATAAATAAATAAATAATAAATATTAACAGATTATTTGATTACTTGTACCAGTTTGCAAATCCTAAAAAAACTCAGTAATTGTAAAAAACTATAGTGACATTACATTTCAAAACACTTTTTGGAAGGTCAAAGTGTTCCTAGTAAACAGATGAGGTTGAGTCTCTCCTTAATTTTACCTGAGCAGAGGCTGATGTTCTTTTCAGTGGTTTTGTCCAGGGACTTGTCGGACACTTCACAAGTGAAGACATTCCCTGTTTTCCACTCTGTTTGAGGGATATGAAGTTGACTGGTTACTGCCACACGTCCATCTGCATTCATGCTGATGTCATCGGTTGAAGAAGATCTTGGCTGAGACTCAGCAAACCATTTAATTTGAGGGTCAAAGCCCCATCCAGAGCATACAAGTCTCTGTGGTCCTTCCTCCTCACTGGGGAGCAGAAGGAGCTCCATTGATGGGTCCCCTATATGTCAACAAATGAATAAATTAATTAAAACTGAATCAGGCACATTTTAAGTTAATTTAAATAGAAAAAATGCAATGGCAGTAAGAAATCAACAGTTTAAAAAAAAAAAAGAAGTACAACACTCACCAAAAATATGGCCTGTTGCTCTTGACTTGAAAGTCATGTGGAGGCCTTGATTTACTCTGCAGGAAAAACTTGTATCATTATTCCAGTGGTTTTGGGGGACAAGGAATCGTCTACTGATTGAATGGGGGCCTGGCGTTTCAGGAAGATCAACATAAAGTTTTTCAGAGATGTCAGTATCGTCGGCTTGAAAGGTGATATAGAGGTCACTGGAGGAGAGTTCTGTGACGTCACACTCCAGCACAGCACTGTTTCCCTTCAGCAAATCTGGGAGAGATCTCCTGATCTCAACCAATGGAGTCCGAATTACATTTTCTGGATGATACAGAAAGACAAAAAAGCAGAGGTATTTATTTTTGGTCACTTCACTAACACAGCATTTCCACACTTATTATTTTGTCTAATCCTTTTACCTGAAACATTTACGGTCTCCTCAGTGGATGAGAAGCAGCGATGTTCAGCTTTACATTTTACAACCCTCAGCTGTTTCCACTTACTTGAGGAAACCGTCAGAGTGCTTATTAAATTAGATGCGTTTCTGGCCAGATTAACTTGGGTTTTGATTGGGTCTGTCCCATCTATTTGCCAGGTCACCTTGGCATCAAACACAGTGAGGACTGAACATGTTGCCTTCACCTCAGTCTTGGCTGTCATTACTGTCCTGAAGCTGGGAATCTCCACATGCATAGAAGGAGTAGTTCTTGCATGGACTGCAGGAAAAAAAAACATAAATGTTCAATGTGAAATGATACATCTTATTCAAAGTACTTATTTTAAGACAACATGGATTTTTTTTATCTTAAAACATGAATGATATATCTGTTACATATTGTGCAATGAGACAGTAGCTGCACATACTTACTTTGGCAAAAACTTATTGTTTTTATGGATTCCTTGTTGTTGTGATTGGACTTGCATGTAAAACTTGAGCCATCTGACCACTGTTTCATATTTGGCTCAATCTCACTGCTTAGACTGAAGGTTTTCTCCATTCCCTCCACACTCTGCAGCTTTCTTTGAATTGGTACAATGTTTAGACGTTGGTTGTTCTGTTGCCAGGTCACACTCAGTTTGTCTGGAAAGAAGCCACTTAGGGTGCAGATGAGTCTGACTGGTGAGGACCCTAATTCTCCTTCCCAGACAGGGTATAGTGTGATGTTTGGAGACACAACTCGCAGTCCTGAGATAGAGAAGAGGTTATATTGTTTTTACTTGTTTCATTATAAATGTTGGATGTGGACAATATGCACTGATTTATTCTCTTCAGTTATACATACCTTCAGGTTTTTGTCAACTAACCAACTGTGTTGTCTCAATTCTAAGTGTAATGTCTTTGTATTTAGGCTAGATGGCAGAGTACTTTTATAATGTCTGCTCGAGTCAGGTGGAGATGGGGCTGGAAGCCTGTTGCACAGATGTTGCAGCATGACAGGGCAGAGTGATCAGCGCTAGCAGCAAGCGGAAGCATTGAGTAACACCCAGGTCCCAAAAAAGTACCAAAATACAGAAGTGAAACAATACAAAGAGCAACGGGGCATCACAGACGCCAGGTGTGAGGTGTGGCTATGCCAGTAAGAGAAACAGAGTACACATTTAAATATCTCATATCAGTTTACATATGCTATCAGATACATTTGACATGGCTTCTCAAGACTTTGTTGAAGGTTTTAGTTCTCAGGGGCTATTATTAATAGACTCGAGAACTAACCGACTGTGAAATCTCTGAATTTACATACTGAGTTGAACATGGGCTGTTGATTCCAGGTGCTGGAGAGGTGATCGGCATGAACAGCTCATTACACAACATATACAATATAGTTAGAAAATGTTTTTAATAGATTAATAAAATTTTAGTATTACATGTTAAACTTATATAGATCAAATTATAGACAGTATGAACTATTTCAAAATAATGGACGAGAGAAAAATTGGAGGAGCAACATCAATGGTTATCTTCATTTAAACATTTATTTTCAAAAAGACACAAAGCTTGTAATTGTGATGAAAAAAGCACAATGATAATTACTTACATGATTCTATGAGTTTCTAAGCAAAATGTGTGAAAAAATACTTTTTTTTTTGTTTTACAGAAAGTTTGCCTCATTTCATTTAATCTGAAAAGACAGAAAAACATATAAATGTGGATTAGTAATATTGCACCTAAATGATCAAACTTCCTTCTATTTGTCATCATTTGCATGTGTGCTTATAATGTAAATGTATATGACCGACATATGCACATTACAGTTACAACATTACTGCATCATAAAGTATAATGCACACATGAATCTTAAATGCTTGCCTGACCTCTTTGTAAGGATATCCTTCAAGAAAAATGTTAAGTAAAACTGGAACCTACACATTTATTTTGGATTTCAAAGACATCTTGAGATTAACTTCATTATTGTTAAGTGAGACATTTCACCATGTAATTTTCTGATGATTTGTAAAATAAATGTCTTAACATGCAGCACAAACTAAATCTTGCTGTTATAGTTTGCTGTGCTTATTTAATAATTAATTTAGCCTAATTCATTTATGAGAAATTTATTTTATATATTTGGAATAATATTAAACACACAATAACAGCAACATCTTGAAAATATAACTCAATTCAGTATAGTAGCCCTTAAATTTTGTGACATAACTCAACATACCACAGAGTTGATTCAGCACCTCTCTCCGTAAAACTCCTTATGCTTTACAGAGGTGACTTTCATTTTAAGTTTATTGTGTTTCAGAAATGTTTTCCTTGTATTAACCTACTGTTATTTCATTCCTCACGTTAAGAGTTTTCTGTCAACTCATCTGTCTTGTTTGAACTGAATACAATTGTCTTTTTCTGTCCAAAACCTGTGCAGGATTTTAACATATAAAATCATTATTACCTTGAAAAAAGTGGTTACAATGGTGAACAGCAGAGTGATCAAGAAGAGAAGGATGAAGGTGACGGCTGCCACCGCCATGTTATCTTCCTCTGTGATACAGATCCATTGGATGTTAGTTTCGCTCAGGGTCTCTGTATGTAGTGTACAGTAATTAATCAATTAGTATTTGGAACAATCCACTGGTGAATTTGAACAATAGCTCTTGAGACAATGATCAAATTCCTTTAGCATGGTTATATATTTTATAACCTCACAGGTCAGATTGGATTTGATCAGTAAATCAATTAGTTAGACAATTAATCCAAGTATGAAATAGACACCAAAAAATGAAGGAAAACAGTAATGGTATATGTCTTGATACTTATTACACTGTCATTAGTCTACCAAAGACGTAATTGTTCTGCGTGTCCTTCTAAAATGTCAATTATGTTAATAAATGTAAAAGAAAACATTTGTCCTACGATGATCCTGAATTGCTTTTGAAAGACCCGTTTATTGGTGTGGCATGCATGACTTGGCTTGTGAATCACTATATTTATCATCCGACTGAGAGACCACAGAGCTGGAGTTAAACTTTAAACAATCAATCATGTCTTGTGTTGGGGGTGCAAGACCAAGTAGAGGAAACACACATACACGAAGACAAGTCACACAAACACTGTTGACCACTGTTACGTGTGTATGACACGAACAACATCTATGAATAAAAATGAACAAATAAACAGAAATTAATTTAATTTAATTTTGACTAAAGTTAGTGGGGTGGTGTTGTGTTCTTCTAGTGAATATATCATGATGTTGAAAGATTAATATATTGTTAGTGTGCTTTTAAACTCAAACATGCTCATAACTACACCTGAGTTGAACAGGGATAGCACTGTGACAGTACACAATAAACATGTAGCTCAAAATATTAGTTAAATAAAGACATGAACTGCATGCGACATACAACAACAGAGTTGCAAAGTGCTTTTTTTTATTTTGATTTTTAATCTGCATTAAAAAGACAAACACAATGTCATATCACAAGCAACAAACATTAAACAACAAACAGCAGAAGACACAGCGACACAAAATAACATCTACTGGGCCTTGCATGTTTCAGGGACATTCAGGTTGAGGTTGACCAGGTTGTTTTTTTCAAATGTTCTGTGCCCGATGGATCTGACAATAGCTTTAGTTGTGTTAGCAACAGATTCGTGGTGAACTGCACAGCTATACACGTCATTCTGTTTCCACTGATCAAGGCTGACTGTTAATTGGGCATAAACAGAATAGGATCCATTGTTTTCTACAGGCTTTGTGGTATGGAACTCATAGCCAGAGACTGGTTCCTCGTCATCAACAAGCCAAGACACAAAAACTTCCTGAGGGAAGAAGTCTTTCACATAGCAAGTCAGGGTCACCATTTCTTTTCTAGTATGTTCTATTGGAGGCAGCATAAATACTGAAGGACGCTGCATCTCTCCTCCTGCAAGCGTGAGAAAACAATTAGATTCCTACCACAGGCAAAAGTACCTGCAGTACTGAAGGAAATATCTCCTACAAAATACACTTATAATGTTTCATGGCATGACAAGAGAAATTCAACACTTTTAGCAAATAATTGCGGAACAGTTTTCTTACCAATTTTCCTTTCATAGAGTTCCTTAATTGGTACAACCAACGCTGAATGTTCCACAAAGCAGTAGCGCTTTATCCCACGGCTCCATTCTTCATACGAGATGTCAAGAGTAAGGCTGAATCTGTTCTTCTTTATTTTTACAGCGACTTCTGTGGTACCAACCAACTCTTTATTGTTATCATCTTCCCACCACATCTTGATAAAAGATGCCTCATCTATCTGGACTGTACATACTAAAGATCCTTTGTTGTTTGAAAACAAGTCCTTCGTTGAGGGGCCACTGATCTCTATTTCCACATCTTTTTCAAAACATCCAGGACCTATCGAGTGAGGAATTAATGAACCATTATTGAAAAGAAATGGCTGCAAAACCATGAGAAGTGAAATTAAATTAACATTACGAAAAAAGTATCAATTTACTCACACTCTACTGTATTTCCTTTGTAGACTACAGATGAATTCTTGAAGGCTGGAATACCATTTTTACCTTTCCCCTCAAACAGGCATGTAAACTCAGTACTGGGAGACCACTCACTGGACTTCACTCTGAGAAAACTTGCTGTACTGTACACTTTAGTACCATTCGCGTCCGTCCTCTCCACGGAAGTTGTTTCGATCTTGTCTGTTTGGTTGTTGAAGTCCTCACCATTTTTCAGCCACTTGATCTTATAACTGTTTGGTGAAAAATCGGTGGCAAAGCAGGAGAAGGCAGCCTCCTCCTCGTCCTCATCAGAGGAGGCGAACACTTTAAGAGTTGGCAACTTATAAACCACATCTGAAAAAAAAACACACACACACACAAATATATGTAGGCAGAAGCAGGGTATAATATATATATGCAGAAGCAGAGGTGAACAATGTGCTACAGTGTTCATGTAATCCACATTTACTATAGATTTACAATATAACTGAGCTGATCACTTTTCTACTGTATGTTATACAACTTGCACAGAAATGTACGTAATGATTCTGCTCCTCAAATAAACACGTTACTGCAGTGTGTGGAAAGAGTAAAAAATAAAATAAGATTTTCATAATTTTAAAAAAATTACATGATTGAACAGCAGGGCTCGCTTCTGCATATACATCGACTGCTCGGGCAAGCACACAGATTTTTTTTGCAGGAATGTTAACGATCAACATACAGTTTTCATCTACCTGCATAATCCCAGTTATGCAGATAGATGGAAACTGTATGGTTAAAGAAGCAGAATACATAGCAATAATCTGTTCTTAGACAGGTGCAGAGGACATACAGTATATTAGTAAAGAATTAATTAGACTCAGCAGCTGAATATACATGAAAGTCTCAGCCTTCTCATTCCACCTCACTGTTCGGTTTGCCGCAAGGCCGACTTATTATAAAACTAAAAATATAAAAAAAATTGTCACACTATTTAATTTGGTTACAGCTGTATTTTTATGTTCTCCTCTGTTTATGTATAGCTTCGAAAAGACAGATTGGAGTATATTTGTAAACCTGTTCCCAGATATCTACACTTTCCATAAGTTATTTGATCAAGTCTGCCTTTAATAAAATTTCTCTGAAAAATCTATAAAACCAAGTAATAGAGATTAACTCTTTGTTGATGTAATACATCAATAACACTTATTTATGACTGTATTTTATTATTTTTAAATTATGATTTTGGCCCTGTTTTTTGCATACAGTTTTTTTTAACCTTATTCATTGCATGAATTGTGCCGTATGAATAAAATTACTGTTAAATCATTACAACAAGAGATTTTATAATTGAAGCGTGTTCTTATCCTTGTCCCCCGTAAATACTAGTAGCAGCCTTGCAGTACAATGTTTACACTGTAAAATGTAAAGCTTTCTTTAAGGGTATTCTTTTTTGACACTATATTCTGCTTCAATTTACTGGCATTTGACGGCCAATTATGTATTACATTATTTATCAGTTATTATAACCATTCACTTTTCTTTAATAAATATAGTTTAAAAACCTTAAAATTGCTGCAAAAATATAAAATATGTTAACTGCTCCACCATGTAAACATGCTAGATTCAAATAAACTACTAAAAAGGCATTTAAAAATCACTAAGCATAGGCCTTAGTTGGCTTCACGGTATCAGCCTGTACGTTTCCCACTGCATGTGCCGATTGAACGGTGACCATAATGGGTATTCCTGAGTTGTCAAAAGCATAGTCACAGTTCAACAAACTATTAACCACTGCATGCATAAACTTGTTCCCAGATATCTACACTTTGCATAGGGTCTTTTATGACAATCTACTATCTAACGTATTTTCAGACGTTTCAGCAGTAGCTCGGAATAAATTTACAAAGGTGTGGTAAAGTCTGCCTCCAATAACATTTCTCAAAAAAATCTACAAAACCAAGTAATAGAGAATAACTTTTTGTTGACATTATGGCTATTTATGAGCCAACTATGTATTAGATTATTTATCAGTTATCGTAACCATTAACTATTCTTTAATAAATATAGTTTTAAAACCTTAAAATTGTTGCACAATTATAAAATATGTTAACATCTCCACCATGTAAACATCCTAGGTTCAAATCTACTACTAAAAAGGCATTTAAAAATCACTTAGCATAGTCCTTACTTGGCTTCACGATATCAGCCTGTCCATTTCCCGCTGCATGTGTCGCGACGCATTGGAAAGTCTGCCTTGCGTCCCAGTCCTGTCTCCTCACTTGGATTTGACTGACCCCCGTATAAACGTTGTTTTTCTGTACTGCAGGGTACTGAATGAAGTCCGTCAATGGAGTCCCACCTTTGCTCCATGAATAGGTCAGTGAGGAGGGTGTGAAACCGGTGGCAAGACAGCCAAGAGTGACCGTGGCTCCACTCCCCGAACCACATTGCATCAGAGGAAACACAGTTGGTGGAGTTGAAGTGCCTAAAAAAGGAAAAACAAACGTGTAATATAATAATATAATAAATATAACAAAATAAAACTAAAGTTCAACAGTTTAATAGTGTGACAAAACACAGCACTGAAGGCATTACCTCTTAAAATGTTGAATATGAAAATTTCAAGTGCCCTCCATACAAAGACCTTTGTTTCCTTATGTTATTTATTTAGATGTTGTTTGTTGCACTAAGATTAACCTTCCTCAATTATATTTTTTAAAGTAGTTTTTTATAATTCTACATACAAATAGGTGAAATGCTTTAAATGGACAACTTTGACAATAATCATAAGCAACTTTTTAAATTGAAGGAATTAAGATGTAAAGTCAGTAAACATCCATAAAGAATTACTTTTGGTCAAATTCAGCAACTGTGTATGAGGTCGAAGAGTATTCTTACCTGATGAAACAGTTACCGTTGTACCCTTTCCCCAGTAGTCAAAAGCATCATAGTAGCACAGTGCTGAATCTACTTAGTTGTTAGTATAAAAAGTCTACGTCTACTAATGCTGAGCGCAAAAAGTCTAAATTAACATTTAATTAATCCCACCACTATAAAATCCACTTAACTGACTCAAAATACTCTAATCATAAATATCCACCGTTGAATCTACTGAGAATATTTGCTGTTTGACTTTGTACAGTACACACTGTATTAAAACTTTACTTTTGAAGGGACACTTGACTTACAGAATAACTTAAATATGAAATTTTACAGTCTGAAACATACTCTGCCGTAGACTTTAAATGGTACAAATCTTACCTGATGACACTGTTACCATAGTGCCTTTTCCCCAGTAGTCAAAAGCCCAGTTGTCACAGTTAAGAGAGTCAATTCACACTTCTCACAAAAACTCATGACTGTAATATCCCATTACTTCAAGTTATACAGTTTGGTTGCAGCGACAATTAAAACAAAAACAAAAAAACACCTGTTGATAAAATTACTTTCCAACTGAACTAGATAGCTAGAAGTTTTGATGAATTATTTGTGCTCAGGTTACCAAATACTGTCCCCTGTCTTATCACTGGCCAATAGTTGTGGGTACAGGAAAATGATAATATATATTTTAATAATGCGATCAGGAAATGTATTCTCTAATCAGAAATATCAAAATTACATACCTGAGGTGATGGTGACCATTGTGCCTTTTCCCCAGTAGTCAAAAGCGTAGTCACAGTTCAACAAACTATTTACCACTACATACAAAAACCTGTTCCCAGGCTTTCCATTGTTATTTTATGTCAATCTACCATCTGACATATTTTCCTTGGATGTTGCAAATAAGGATTCAGAAGTTTAAATCAACTCTACTGGTTTTACCACATTTAACATACAGTTTTGCAGAAATTAATTTGTGGTGTCGCAAATGGATTTCTTCAAAAAAATCCGAAAACAATTTTTTAAATACAAATGTGTACATTGGAAAAAAAAGATTGGCTTACCTGTAGCTGTAACTGTAACCATTGTGCCTTTTCCCCAGTAGTCAAAAGCACCATCACAGTGTAATATGTCAACACATCCAACATACAAAAACAAGCACCTTAAAGATGCTGTTGATGCCCCTGAGGTCTAAATATACTATAATAAACAGCGTAATTATCACATTTTCAATATGATGATTAAATAAGCTTTTTTTACCTGTTGTGACAGTCACTGTTGTTCCTTTTCCCCAGTAGTCAAAGTAGTAGTCACAGTGATAGGTTTCAATAGCACTTTCGTACAAAAATACTTCACAGGTTGAATCATCTAATAAATCATTTTTGTACTTACTCAGTAAATAGAATATACCAAATATTCACCCCAAACTTTTGTTTTTGCTGTTAATGACTTCTTAATCTAACTGCAGTGTAAACCAACATAGATTTAAGAATAAACCAGAAAGATATTACATTTTCTTCAATCAAAATATATTGGATTATTACTCACCAGAAGTTACTGTGACTTGTGTCCCTTTCCCCCAGTAGTCAAAGTAGCCATAGCCACAGTTACACATACAGCCTGCTTCTATTACAAATACTATAAATGTTTAAACCAAGAAAAGCAAACATGTTTCACTGGCAAAGCAATTCCCACTGTACTATGTAACCACGTCCCCTGAGATATTAATTTCCTGTGGTCTGGGTTATATAAAATTAAATGTGTTTGCCAACGGTTAGCGAACACTTCCTCTTTATCAGACCCTCCTGTTAACTCCAGTTCCTGCAACATACTCAACCAGATACACATTCAGCCATTAAGATTGATGAAAAATAATGATATAGGGCTCTGTTTCCACATTTTCCACATTTAGATTAAAAAATAAAACAAATGTCATTCCTTGTACACATTCACTTGATTTATCATAGCCACTTGAACATCCTTGAAGTAACTAATGTTTCAGTCCATTAACTAGCCCACAAGTCTTCTATAGTAATGTCAGAAAACACCAGGAAAGCCACACACCTCACTGAAAAATGAAGTTCATAAGCAATGTAGCAAATGCAGAAATCACTGCTGGAGGATCCACCATGAGCAGTTTAGCATTAAGCATTTAGCCAAATACAGAACCCACCTGTTGGTCAAGCAACATCTTTAGTGTCTTTGATATGTGTCACTTGTGTGTTTGCCGGGTGGTGTATCAAATCAGTGATTAGTATAAGTAGATGCAACCTTTTATTTAACTACAGGTAGGCTACAGTAATGCTAAATAACCCATAATGACAATGTGCTATTGTGCACTAGATTTGGCCCGGGAGAGACTGCACCCCTTGTACCACCTACTGAACAGATATACTATTGATGGAATTAAAATATCAGGTCGGGAGCAATGCCCTCTGACCCCCACTACATCCGGGTGAACTGCTTGTTCTTCTCTCTGTGTGTGCTTATGTTTAAGGCCAATTTAATGTACTGTATATGTGATCTGTAAGATAACGGTGCCAAGTTAAAATAGTTACACATACACTACACATCCTTAACTATAAAAACCCACCATAATAATAAACCTCAGTGAAAAGTACATCAGTACATACATTACACACAGACAAATAGGTATGAATTTTGTACCCAAATGTAAATTTGTCAGAAAAGTACCCTGTAAGGTATGAAAAAGGCCCTTGAGGTGATAACTGTGGACCTTTGTTTAATTCTAAAGGTACAAATTCATGGCTGACAGAAAGAGTACATAGTTGTACTTTTAACAAGCTTAACGTACAGGGAAATATTACAGCAAATCAGTGATCACAGAGTTAGATTTATTTAAATAATAACTAAGCTACAATATGCTTTCCACTCAATTCTTGGTTTGTGTGGCCTGGGAATAATTTCATGAGCAAGAACTAGGACAGCACTTCTGTGCAACTTTTTTAATTTTGCCACGTGGACGTTTCGGGCAAGATGCTCTTCTTCAGCGTGTATTGGCAAGGTCACAATGGATCAATTCGAGTGATTTTGTTCATTTAATCAAGTAACCAATTGTCGTGAAAGAGTGAAATGCTTTCACTAGCCATTACCATTACTCCCAATTTTATTTTATTTAAGTATTATCACTCCCTTATGGAGCCTGAGGAGTTGGGTAGTGCAACCCATTTTTTCCCTGCAGTCTGCTGTGGCAAGTGCGTTGGTACTCTGCACTGCTGAAGAGTTTAAAACTTGATTAAGGCCGTTAGTGTTAAAAGATTTTTCTTGAACTACATTTTGGTGAAGAATTGAAAACGGGCAGTGGTTGCAGGTTGTCAGTTCAATCCCTGAAACTGGCAGAATAAATCTTTGTGAGCAAAGTGAAGAAGCAGCACTTGGGTGCCCTTGTGCAAAGCCCTTAACCGCAGCCGCTGTGGTTGTCCTGGGTAGCTTCCAGGTATGAACATTGTAAATGTGATCAGGGCATTCCTTCCTCGCAGTTAATCTTCCCTGAATCAACAAAGGTTAAATAAGAAAATAATTCTAACAGTATATGAAGGTACACACAAAAGGTACAGAAATGTTCTTTTAGAGGTACAGAAAAGAAGCTGCAAAAATTTAACTTGTTCAAAGGTACAGCACTTTTACCCTGCTAGGGTACAGCTGGAGCATTAGGTTAATTCCTGTACCTTGATTTGTACAAACATTAGTACGTTGACAGAAGTCACATGATTGATTGATGAGTTGTGTTACACTATGCTATCTATGCTATATGCCCAGGTAACGTCACCATTCTGTGAATGGTGAGGAATTTGGACTTGAGCAGAGTTGTTAATGACTTTGCTGAGCGAAAGGCCCACCAAATAGATGAACTTCTATTGGGTGGTTTAAATAAATTAATTTAAATTACCTCTCAAATGTTAGAAAATTAGCATTTACTCTAATCTGTGTCTGTGATAACATTTGGCCGCTATAAATGAATTATTGTAATTGTGTGATCAGATACCGTCATCCATTCATTCAGACTGGTTTTGGTTGTTTGGTAGTCGGAGACAGCAGGCTGTGGTGGTTTGAGTCTGGCTGTTGGATTTGGTTGGATGAAGACGTCATCATTGATATCTTGTTGCAGGTACAGGAAGTGATTAGGGATGTTATGATACCAGAAATTTACCAATACCAATAAAATTTGAAAATTAGCAATACCATGGTAAAACATAGGGATGTACCGAACAAAGTTTCTTTGCTCCTGATCCCAATCCGATAGTGAGTATCTGCTGATACGGCATCCCGATCTGAGCTCTGTATTGCGTTAAAAAAAGTATTCCCTACATCCAAGCTGTTCTTTAATGTTTTATTATATTTTACAGAAAAACAAAGTAAGCTATAAAATAGCCTAACAAACCCTCTCTGTAATCATTTTTCATTGTTCATTCTTGTTGTCTCGAGGGAATTTCTCAATTTTCCGTTCTCTGTAACACAACTTTCTAGCTTTGCACTCCAGTGCACACAATTACTTTTTAAATTAATGGTGATGTTGTGATGTTAAATAAAGTAATAGTTACATTCAAGCTCTTCTAGTTACCCGTCACCCTTAGTGCTCTTAGTATCCTACTTTAAATGGGTTTTACTCAACAGCACTGCATCAGCCTGTGTATAAACACATGCTATCTATTAGAATTTCATTGTTAAATGAATAATTATTTTCATGTTGAAAGTATACAAATGCAGTTTCTCCAGCCTGTTTTTGTGTAATGTGTTATCCTGTATCACCAGAGCTGGTGTTTGAGAATTAGCTTTCAGCCTGAAGTTTCAGTTTGCTAAGTGGATGAGGAAGCACCTGTTGTGGTGAGGATCGTTTCCTCTGTGTTACATAAATAAAAACCAGTAAGGATGTTAGAAACCACAAGTCCAAAATCAATAGATATTTTCATCTTTCTTCTGATAGAATCCCTATTTGAGTTTAATAGTGTCTGTGTTAATAGTGAAGTACATTTTAAGTTATTCATAGCAAATTGTAATTAATGTGCTATCTAAATACTTATTGGACCATTAATTTGTGACCATTAAAGCCCCATTATGCAACTTTTCTACTTAAAATAAAATAAAATAACAGCTTAAAAATCCTTTTGATGCCACACTGAGTTGTAATAGGGTGAATGGTGCCTCTGTCATTCCCACTTTGCTCCCCATGTTCTTGCACTATGTAACTTTTGGCTCCAGGTTGGGAAAAGTGTGTAACACTTTACAGCAGTGGTAGACACATCCTACTATGATTTTGGTGAAACTGGATCAGAAATGTTTTCTTGTTTTCCCTCTGATGTCCCCTGGAGTTTCCTGATGGACAGGAAGCTTTAGTTAAAGTGGGTTAGTTAAAGAAAGTCAACCACTAAGCATTAACTACTGTACTGACAATGGCGATGGATGACTGATCCATGCTGTTTGTACGTTTTCTGAACTACTGTTTTTAACCATCGGGACATTGGCAGGAAAGCATTGACATGGCAGAGCATCTGGATGTATCAGGTAACTTCAGTTTTAATTTTAGTTAGGCTATACAGTTATGAATGACTATGCTAACATAGCTTACTTTAGCTATCAACAATACCAGTCTCTAGTTGGTATCAAAGACAGGATTGCCAATTGTCAGTAACCATGGAAACAGCTTCTGTGCACAAACAGGTTTCCATGGTTACCACACGTCTGGTGTTAACTTGTGCTTGTCTACCTGTCTGTTCACATAAGCAGCGCAGTGAGGACCTGCGTTGATTCCTGCCTGAAAAACCCTTGTTTAGCAGCCTCTGCGGACATGGAAGGGCCAAAGAGACCTAACAGGACATTAATGGAGGAAGCTAAAAAGAGTAAAGGCGAAAGACCAAGCAATAAGCCACCAGACAAAAGTAAATCTCAGACTGAATTGTAGTCGTTGGTGAAGACAGAAAGCGAGCTGGCCTTCTTGCTGTTGGACTAGCAATTCAGATTTGCTCGCTTGCTTCGTCTTTCACTTGCTTGATTTTTGGCTGTGTTATCAAAGTTGTCAGCTTGCTAGTTTTTGATAAGTAATGCAATCATAACAAATGCACATGTGCAGCTGTCCGTATTTACAACAGTGGTATTACATTCTGAAACTCTCTACCTCTGGGGACGCCAAATTTCAACAAATACCAAATGTTACATAGTGTTTCTTTAACTCACATTTAAAACACACTTGCATTAACCACAGCAAATTATTTGTAAGTGGACAAAAATGTTTTATGTTCTATATATATATATATATATTAGTTTTTCAGTTTGCAAAACATATTATCTTTG